GACAACACCTGGCTAGAACAAACCATCACATGCCTCCTGGTATCCTTTTGCTTAATTATCCCAGCTTGAAGCCTAGAGGGGAAAAAGTGAAACTGTGCTCATTTGTTTTTCTGTAGGTTTTCTCTCTTTTGTAAAATGTCAGTGCGTGGGTCTAATGAGAAATTACCACACTTGAAGGTTCTGACCACATCCAGTATTTAGTCTTGCATATCTGAAAGCTCTGGTGCTCCTGCCACTGCAATTACTGGCTCAGAGGATTCAGGGCAATAGCAAAGCCTGAATCCTCTGCTGCAATGAATTCCTAGAGGCTTTGGTTCTGCAGCTGATCACCACCTTCACACAAAGCATCTCCAAGACCAGGGGTTTGTCCCACTTGTGTTTGACTTTTCACTCACCATTTAACTCCCATGACAAAGCCACAACAGCAGTTTTTTGACCATACCAGAAGTGCTGGTCACAACCAGTCTGGCACTGCTGGAGATAACCAAACATTCTTCCTCCCTTCACCTCCAGTTCCTCTCTGTGAACTGGCTTCCTAAGGAGGGAATTTTTAATGCAGGATCCTGCAAAAGTGTCTTTTATCAGCTAAAAGAGATGAGTGGTTTTTTTGGAAGATTCAGTACAAACAGCACTGAGTGTACATGTTCTCCTGTGGTGTTTCTGACCCTCTATCGCCTTGCAGGCACACTGAGCTTAGTGAGGGGAATGGCCTGTTGACAACAGGGAAAACCAGGCCAGTGCACAGGTATTTTTATACATCAGCACAAATAAAACTGACAGCAGAAAAAGGGAAAAAATAAATATAATTATTCAAAATGTCTGCAGTGCCACTGACCCAAAATGTGAGTAGTAATACAAATAAAGGAATTTGGATCCCGCTCTCCCATTTAAAATAAGCATCCTTTTGAGGTATAATACATTCAGCAAGCAACACATTTTCAAAATGATTCTCTTTTTCCTCCTCTTTTTTTTTTTTCTAACCTACAAATGCTGTTTATCTGAATGCTGCCTAATTTGCACATGCAAATAAGTCAAATGATCTTGAAAAGATGAGGCTGTAGAACAGAATGCAGTTTAAGTTGAGAATGTCTGTGATTCAACTGAGCTGCAATGCTGGGACAATTTAGTGGCTCCCAACAAAATCTCTTGGATTCTAAAACCCATTGAGGCCATTCACCCCAGCAGAAAAAGACCTGCAGCTCCCACTGGCTTCAGCTTGACAAGTAGATCAATATAATAATAAATTGGCACTATTGCTTTTGACAAACTCACTGGAGTTTTGTCAACAGCTCTACATGAAAAGATTCAGTTCTTCCAGCACAAAATGACCAAGAGCCAGCAGTGGTCATATCTGGGACCACATCTTACAGGAATAAAATACATTAGTATTTCCACCAAAGCTGTACTGGTTTTTTTCACATGTGTATTTGGTGGTGTTCCTGCAAACAAAGGGGAGAGGACAGCTTACATTTCATAGCTTACATTTGATGTCTGAAGTTGAATGCAGAAACATTAACCCTGCAAAACAAAAGGCCACAAAGCCACTTCCATGATTTTAAATCATGAACTAGTGCAAATGTCTAAGAGAAAACCAACATTTTTCATGAGTTTTTCCAAAAAAGGCAAAAAGCACAGCTACTTATTTCTGACAATTAAGCAGCTTACAGAGTCTTTGTTCTACTGACACTTAAAAATGCAGTTTTCAATTATTTATATTGAAGTTCAACACCTAAAAGAGGAAGAAAAAGTATAAAGTGTGTGCTCTGCAGCACAGGCACCCACCCTTTCCTGGAGGGTTCCATCCATTTACATTTAGCACTGTTTCTCAGAGAAGCTGACCTAGGGAGGGGCACACAGGCCTGGATTCTGCCACATTTTCTAACACCCTATCATCCATTAGCACAACTGACCAGAGGTAGTATGTACATGGTAGCAGAGGATAATTTCTCCCCAGGGGTGCTGACCTGATTTATGAACAGGTGGGAAATCAGAAAGTTGTCCATACCCAAGGCATTGCCATGTCAGCAGGTGGAGTGGTGCAAGAAGTCACCATCTGAGCACCCTTAGGTCAAGAGTTCAACAGCTTCACTTTACTGAGGAGGGTTTATTTTAAGCTTCTGAATCCTCTTTGAAACTGCTGGGCCACCCTTCCTGGCCCACCAGCTCTGTTGTACAAACTGGCACCTTAAGCAGGGCAGCAAGGTAATGCTAAGATTTTAAACTGCTCCAATCATTTGCAAAGTGAGCGCACATCAGTCTACACGTCTCAGGTGCTTTTGGAAATGTTACTCGGATTCAAACTGAGATGTATAAATAGGGCTAGAGGCAACATTCTCAAAGAAATTAAACTGATATCAAGCACTACAGTGAAACACAAAAAGATATGCCTAAATAAATTCAAAAATCCCAGTCCAAGATCCTTTAGGTTTTGGAAAATGGGTATAAAAATGGCCAGCGAGTCTAAGCCCAAATGTAGATGAGGTGGATCTAGTCCAAGCACAGTCCTTTCTGTCCCTCCTGCTTTTCTTCTCAAATAGTCAGTCTGAACCAAGCTTTAGATAAATACATTTAAATACTACAGTAGCTTTCTGAACTGGCAATGTGAGCTCCCTCCACACACTGCTTTCCCCAAGTGTTTTAACTCTGTTTTGGAAGAGAGGGGCTGTAGATCAGGTTTCACTCCTGTTAGTGACCTAATCAATACGAAAAGAGCTAGGACTCGATGCAGAACTCCCAGGAGACTGCAATAATCACCCACACTTACTTATGAAAGCCAATCAATGTCCAGGGGGTTTTATGTGCCATTTATATACCTTAAATTAAATTTCTGAAATTAAACTTTGATTCCCAGCACGATTACATGCTGTGGTGCTAAGAAAGACAAGGCACAAGTGAGTGCTGCCTCCAAGGCTGACTGCAAGGAAATCCAAGGATGTGGAGCCAGGAGAGCATGAGAGACCTGAAACTCACCACCAATGGTAGGTGCAACCATAGCATTCACATAGTGGATACAGGAATAGGCATAAAATCAGTGAAATAAGCCCCTACTTCTATTTTGCCTCCTGTTCATTCAGCAAATGACATAGGCTACCTTCCAGTGGTCAAACGAAGGACAAAGATGGTAGAAGGTGCTCAGTGGTGGGAATTAACATGAAGAAAGAGGATAAAGTTTTATTTCATGATTTCATCCTTCTTTCTCACTGTGGGAAAGTCTGCAGAAACTGGAGGTTTACCATTTCTGTCAGGTTTATCACAGAAAATACAATTTGATGGGTGATTAGCAAACTCAGGCTTCCTGTCAAAATGTCCCACATCCCTCAGTAGTTTTGTTCTGGTTATGACCATTATGTGCGTACTACTTATTTATTTTTTTTTTAATATCTGCATACCATAGTTATAACTTTGCAGGCAGTGAGATCACAGCTCAAAAAAAGATGGGAAACACGCACATGAGGCTATTCATTGTGCTATTTTTAGTGTTCTGAAGTCCATGGCATTGAACAATGACTCATAAGAGTAGCAAGCCAGAGAAGCACTTGCAAAGCATATCCAAGCTTGTTTATTCACGTATTTGTTTGCACTGATTCATCACATTGCTCAGTGTAAAACCAGTGGGACTCCAGAGGAAGCACAGGGGAGAAATTCTGTTTAGAAGGAGCTTCTCCACCCACCATGCACCCCTGAGCTGATGGAGGTCACATGAGGGATTTGGGAATACACCTCCTCTACCCACTCCCGAGAAGCAGAGCCCTTAAAGACCCATGGAGTACATTCCCTCTGATGGGAATTCGCTCCCTTAACTGTCTCCCTTTATCAGCACCCACAACAGGGTATAAGGAGAAACTAAAAGAAGCAAATCTTCTTGCTTGTTTCAAGTCCTACATTAAAAGTGTTGCCTTTTTTCCTCCCCTGTAGTCCTTACAGGAGGTTAACTTATGGTGCATCTATGAAATTCTTTTGGAGAGGTTTGGCAAAGGTCAGTTACAAAAGCAAATTATTTTTCCCATGTGATGCAGTGGTGTTATGCACCCATAATGCTATTACAATAAATGTGAATAATAATAAAGAATAATAATATCTGCTTCCCCTGTGAAATTCTTTTTGTGACATTTAAAAAGAATTTGTCTGCCCAGGCCTAACTACAGTTTTCTTTGAGGAGGAGGTGAAGATGGGGTTGGTTTCCTCTACTTACACTGGTTATTTTTGCACAGGGCAGGTCTGATGTCAGCACTGAGAGATTGGATGATAGCTCCATGATTCATATTTAAGAGTGAATAATGCTGAAAGGATTTGGGGAATACCCAGAAATACAGATAAGAGGAAACTACACAGAAGACACTGGGATCAGGCTCAGAAGGAGCAGGGACAGCTGACATCTACACCTGAATCTGCCTACTGATAGCCAAAGGAACAGGCAAAATGAAAGAGGCATTTGAAAGACTTGGTTTTGCAAGAGAAAACTGGGCAATGAGGGGAGAGAAGAATGCAATAAATAATTAGACACTTGCAGAGTACAGACTATGTCACTTCTTCCCAAAACTGGCAGCTCTGCTTAAACATTGCAGATTTCCTTTCACACATTTGCGAGTATGAAAAAGTGTGTGGAGTACAAAAGTCTGGCACCACAGGCAGCAGGGAAAAACTGTACAATTGCAATTAAAAAGACCTATATGTCTGTTGATTTTGTGGTAAAGTCAGGTGTGACAAATGAAGAACAATCACCAGAAATAGAGACTATCCAATGTATAGTAATTACACTTAGTAATACTTGCTACTGCTCCTTCATTTCATCTTGCTTGCCTTGACTCTTACCAAGTCCCTCACACAAAACTATGTAAGGCAGAGAGTTTCTTTTATTTCAAACCAGCTTCCTACCTTACCACACTGTTCCTAAGACACCAGGTTATCTCTAAAACATGCACAAAATTGAAATAATGTTAGATTCTGTTATTAATACTGTGCTGTTAGTTCTATATTTAATATTAAAGTGGTAGCAGTACCTCTTCTGCAAAGTTGGTTTTCTTGTCAAGCATTTCTCGTAAAGTTTGAAGGATTTTAATGCACAGCTTTTCTTCTTTCTCCATTAGCTTTTTTGTGTGATTAATCAACCTGAAAGTGAAATATTAAAACTCAAAGAGCATTTCACATTGTTGCTAAGCCATACTACAATTTCTTTATGTAAAAATTGTCCATCACTATATTTTTCCTCAAGGAAAGGGAATAAAAGTGGTCAAGAGAAATCATAATTAAAAAGGAAATGGGATTTTCAAGGTGTTGGGATATTTTTGTGTCAATTTGCATATTGTACTGCCCATACAGAAGGCACAATTCTACATCCACCTTTTATGAGGGCTTCCAGATTAAGATCCAGACTTGCTATTTCATCTTTATTTAAAGGTAACTTATTTTAACCATTATTTAAAGGTAACCAGGATTCACCATGCATCTTGCATACTTTAAAAGCTACAACCTTTACACCTTCCAACTTCTATGATGGTTATAATATATTTATGATATAATTAAAGTGGTATTCAGCCAAAAGGATTTCCAAAAATCCTTACATGGAAGTGTTCAGAAATACAGACATTTGGATGAAGCATAATTGTTGTATACATTCACACAACCACTTGACAAGCCAGAAAACAAGGTCCATTTCTGTCTCCAGCTATGACTGTGACAGGAGTTTGGATGTCAGTCAGCTGAAGCCGACACCAGAAGCAGCCTTTCTGTCTTTGTGCAGAACAGATCTGTGCACAGGTCCTTGCACTGGTTCACACATTGTTGGAGAAATGTTTGTGAAAATAAGAAGGGAGGAAGTCTGAAGGCCTTGGACAGGTTTTTTTGGGTTTTTTTTTTGCATTTTGATGCTGGCTTCAAACAGGAGTTTGGACAGACAACATCAGATAGGATAATCTCAAAACTGAATTTATTTTTTTTTAATCTTTCCAAACATATAAAGTGTATTGTTAAAATGCTACCTCTGCAGAATATGCAAATAACCAAGGAATCAGGAGAGCTGCCAAATGCATTCATTTCCCCCAAGTTATCTCTGTTTAAATTATAGTTTCTCAAGGGCGGGGAGGGCATCTCACTTGAGAACTAATAAAAAATTTGCAAGACTCTATTCCAATGCACAGACTGCAAATAAAACATCTAATAATTCAAGACCAGACAGGGGTCCCAGTGAAATGTATTTTCAAAAAGCTGTTGGCAGTTTAAAATTAAAATATCAATTTGCTGCACCAAAAAAAAAAAATCCAACAAAAAAACCACGAGCATTGAGCAGCCCACTGCTTCATTATAAATTCTTGAAAATTCTGCAATGGAAAAATCTATGTTTCTGTTGTAGATTTGGTGAAATGTAATAGCAAAAGTAGCCCATTGAAAATACAGAAGTACGTTGAGCCTGCCACAATTTTAACAAGCCATTAACATCCCATTTCTAGCAGGTAAGGCAAGCAACCTCTCTCTCTCTGTGCTCTCCAGACAACAAAACTGCTGAGAAATATAAAATATGGAGCAAAAGGCCTCACTTTAAGCTTTCAACAGTGAACTTGGACACCTGCATGCTCAAGTTTCTGCTGAAAACCAGAAGTAAGTGCTTTTGAAAATGTTAAAACCCTGCCATCTTTCCCAAAGAAGCAAATAGGCCCTTCTGTACACCACTTACTTGGACATGAAAGCCCCACATCTTATTCTGGCATCGCTGCCCTCAGGGAACAGGAGCTCTGGGCTGTGCAGCACATCAACCAGCACTGAGAATTCAGCTTGCATCATGGGCGTGAATTGCTGCTCCAAGGAGGACACCACGTCCTGGGGAAGACAGGAGAACATCCATAACTGCAAGAGAACTACTTACAGAATCACTGTGGCGTGCACAGTTCGGTGTGATGCACTGCTTGACCCAGTGTGATGCCCAGCTGCAAGAGCCCTGGGCAACCCAGGTGGCTGTAAAGACACTTCAAGCCTTTTTTCATGCCACTCCTCACACAGGGCAAGGGGAAAAAGGTGCCCATTGTTACTCTCTTTCAAACTTCTCCTCTGCAGCAGTACTCACAAAACTTGTGACAACAGTTAGGATGATGGTGTGCTGGACAAACAATGCTCATCACACACAGTTAATGTGTTAACTCAGGGGTTGTGTCCTTGGTCTTTAGGGCCCCTCCATTTGTCTGTGTCCTGCTGTTTTCTCAGGTCATAAACCCCTGATGATGTTTAGGCTCTACATGCACAAGGTGATCTCCATCTCATGGCAATCTCCAGTGACACAAACAAGACCTCCAGTATCTCCTCTGCATCCAGAACAGGACATGTGGCCATAAAAAGGCAGAAAGGAGATGATGCTCTGTGGAGCACTTTGAGGAGAACACAACTTGAACACTGTGTGCAGTTTTGGGCACCACAATGTAAGTGTCCAGAGGAGGGACATGGAGAGGGTGAAGGGCCTGCAGGTGAAGCCACATAAGGAGCAGCTGAGGGCACTTGGTCTGTTCATCTGGGGAGGAGCAGACTGAGGTCAGAGCTCACTGCAGTTCTGCAGCTTCCTCACGAGGGGAAGAGGAGGGACAGGCCCTGATCTCTGCTCTGTGTGATCAGGGACAGGACCTGAGGGAATGGCGGGAGCTGTGTCAGGGGAGGGTTAGGGTGGGTATCACAAAAGGCTCTTCCCCCAGAGGGTGCTGGGGCACTGAACAGGCTCCCCAGGGAATGGTCACAGCCCCAAGGCTGCCAGAGCTCCAGGAATGTTTGGACAGTGCTCTCAGGCACAAGGTGGGATTGTTGGGGTGTCTGTGCAGGGCCAGGGGTTGGACTCAATGATCCTCGTGGGACCTTTCCAGCTCAGCTCATTCTGTGATACCTCCTACCCTTCTCTGACTTCTGTAGGAGCCAAATACTGATCCTGAAGAGCTGAGCCTTCAGCTGCCCCCACACAGAAGTGCAGTGGGTCCTCTCATCCAGCACTAAAAATTCACTGGGCTTGTCTCTGGTATTTTCCACATTTGGCACATGTGAGGTAACTGCAGTCTCACTGCTGCCCAAGCCATTTGCTATTTCTGTACCTGTAGTTTCTCTATGATATTCCTGTAATCCCAGGCAGGCCCACCAAGAGCTTCTTTGAAGCGAGGTCCACTGCGGGCTGACATCCTCCACCCCATGGCTGCCCTCTGCACCATGTTGGAGTGACTCTTCATGAACAAGGTGTTCACCTGGCTGTCCAAATCCACTGGAATCGCAATCCCACGGTTCTTTGCTTTAATAGGAAGGAAAAACCCAAGATATTTACAGTGGCAAAAACTTTAAAATCTTACAGAGATTATGGCATGCTAAAGCCTGATCCCGTTGAAGTTAAGGGTCAGGGTAATCTCACTTCAACAGGTATTAAAAATAAGGATCCTAAAAATAAGAACCCTTAAAAATAAGCATTCCTAAGTGGTAGAAATCAACAATAATCTAGTTAAAGAAAGCAAGCTGTACTACTTTAAATGAGTTGAGGGTCATTTCCAGTATATATTTTCACAGACATTTATTTTTTAAAACAATATTAAATTTTTTACTCACTTGAAAAAAATCCAGAGATATTATTAAGAGTAACAAAAGGAGTATGTGTTATTATTTCAACAGTTAGTTTTACTCTATTCAGAAGGAAATTCTGAATTTTTTCTTTCTAGTGGACATAGGCACATTTATATAATTTATCACAAGTTCTCTCTTGTTGCTTAACTGTGTATTTCTCTTGTGAAAACCTTGAGGAACCAAGTGCTTACCAATTAATTCTGAAAAGACTGTCTCCTCTTCTCTCTGGGTTTCCTATACTGCTAGGGTTGCTAAACCCTGGATTCCTGGATGGTGTCTGGATGCCATCGCAATAGATACAGTAGCTAATAAATATCTGACAGTCTAACTGATAGTTAGAAGAATTTAATCAATAGCTAAAAAATTAATATTTTTTTCTTTTTTAGACTTAAGAATCAGGAAATGACAGTAGAGAGAATTTAAAAAAAATTAGGAGAGACTTTCAGGAATTCTTACAGAACATCCACTATTAAACTACAATTGCATCCTGAGCTGTTCGAAAAGGAAGTTTGAATGGCAATGCTAGAAGGTATCTGCCCTCTCCCCTAGTAAAATCTCTGTGCTAGCTGCTCCTCTCCATTCCACTGGAGATCAGAGTGACAGTGTTCTTTGTCTCAGCATTGGTAGTCTGAAATTCAACCAAAAAACAAGAGTTTGCTCCATTCCTGGAAGTGTTCCAGGCCAGGCTTGACAGAGCTCTGAACAACCTGGGACAGTGGAAGGTGTCCCTGCCCATGGCAGGGGGTGGAGCTGCATGTTGTTTAAGGTCCTTTTCAACACAAACCATTCTGTGAGTCTGTGATCAGTATCTCTGAAAGATCAGGTCGTGTTCCAGCGATTAGGCTCTGTATTCCATGTCAGTTCACTTAATTTCTGTGGCACAGCTTCTGTGTAATAAAAACTTAAAAGTAAAATGGACCTGTTCTAATCCATTTGTAATAATGACCATGAGTAAGTAACTTTTCCGTTTTCCTTATTGAAATAAGCTGAATTTTAAAGAACCATTAGCCCAAATTGCAGTTCTGCACAACGTTTCTCTGAGGCATTTCCCCACCTTTCCACACTAACACGCTTTCCACAGTGGGGGAAGGCATCAAAAATACTTCATCTCTCCCTCCCAGCTCTAAAACATATCCAGCTTTATGTCTTGAACCTGTGAAGGCAGCAGATGCCCTTCTGTCCCAAACAGCCCATGCCTCCAGCCCCACGGGAGGATGTGCAGGCAGAGGCACCACACAGCTCTGATGAATGAAAGCTGCAGTGCTGCCAAGCACAGTGAGTCACAGATCCCAGGCACAAACTTTCTCTTCTCCTCAGGACTAGACTGAAATGACAGCTTTTATTATAAAACTAAATCTGGCTGTGACACCTCAACCCCCAGCCTCAGAGACTGTGGCAAGGGCGCTCTGTCAGAGAAACTCTCTTCCCTCTAATGGATCCCACGGGTTCAGGGCACCCTCCTCTCTTCCCACTGCAAGGCTGGATCCTGATGCAGGACTGGGGCTTCCCCCCATGGATCAGGCTGTTCCATTGGGGTGGAAGAGAATTATCTAATTCCATTTCTGGTAGGCACTTTCTTTTAAATAGTTAGCCACAGGGAATTGAAAAAAAAAAATTAAGTTAAGCTGGGAAGACACAAATTGACTTTTCCTCTCTCCATTTGTTTTGAAGGCAGGTTCCTGATTACATGTGGAAAATGCCATGTATGGCTGGCCATTATTTCTAATGATTGTTTTTCCATATAATTCAACTGGGCTGTTTTTTCAAAACACATTTGCCCTGTTGCTGCCTACTTTACTAGAGAAGTCCATTAAAGTTCTGCCAATATGGGTAGGGTGCTGCAGCCTATTAATCCAATTTATTGTGTCCTCATGTCAATCACTGGAATGCTACTGGACAATCCTCACTTCTCAATTAAGTGGAATGTATGCAGAATCCTTATATATTGAAGAATAAATTTAGCAATGGGGAGCACACTGTTCAGAGGAAAACCCAGGCTTCTGCAGTCCTATAGATGCCATTTGAACTTAACAACTTCCATCATTGTCTAAGGAGCAGTCAAGGACTATGATTGTTCAAAGAGTTGCAGCTAATTAAAACTATCACAAAGAAAACCAGAGAGTGAAAAAAAACTACTCCTTTGTTTTGAGCAGTTCTTACATGTATAATTCCATTTGTAATTAAGATTTGTATTGGTTGTCAAAGGGCACTGTTGAAGTCTAAGCTATAAACAAAGCCTTTGTCTTCTTATTTCTTTTCAGCTTGTAGAAAGTTTAGCTTTCATTTGTTTCACATTTCATTATTTAAAATAACATGAAACATATTTTTACATTTTGGAAAGCTGATGAACAAATGTGAACATAAATATTTATTTTTAATTTAGGTGTTGTAGGCTGCTTTCCTCTTCAAAATGTGTCAATCTCCCTTAAAGCATCAACATCAAATATTTAAAAGCATGTTTATTTTTGTTCCACTTAGAAATACTTTTGGACAGCACTCAAACTTGAAAAGTATGGTTGGAGCTGGTAGACAAAGGAGCCAAGAGGGGGTAAAAGTCTGTCTTTCATCTGACTGATGAACTTGGGAAATAGCTACATGGCTGTCTGTACATAAGTATCTAGCAGGATACTTACCAGAATGGACTCAATGATCCTTGTGGGTCCCTTCCAGCTCAGAATATTGTGTGATTCTGTGATGTCTTCAGCACAGGTAAATTCTGCCCTGCAGTGGAGGGCAAGTGCCAGGCTTATACAGTGCCCATTTCCCACCTAGGGCACTGTGCATGGGGCTAATTACATCCTGAATACACAACACCATTTTGCCAGTGTCAAAGGAGATGGAATTTCTGGGAAATCCTTTAAACTACTAACTCTCAATCTGCTGCTCCCAATTATCTTTCAGCAAGAGAGACAAGATGAGCCAAGACAAGTGAGCAAACACGACTTGTGGCAGTGGTAAGGAACACAGTGCCGCAAATTCAGCCAGGTCACAGCAAAATGTCATGCCCTGTCCTGGCTGGTTCTGTGGGCATCCAGTGATCAGCAGCATTCCTCTCCCATACTGCTTAAACAATGAAATAGTTTTCAAAAGAAAAGGGCACCGTGAATGCTAAGAATCAAGCAGGTAAAAATCAAGGTACTCTAGATGAGCAAGTTCCAGTGAAGCCCCAGTCCACAGTCCAGCTGCTCCCAGAGAGGTTGAAATGGGCCCAGGTGTTATTTTGTTAAATTACTTCCATGTAGTTCTCTTCACAGAATACAGCAATTGGACCTGTTTCAGCAATGCCTCCTGAAGCACTGTCCTTTCACTGTGTTGCTGCCTGAGGACCAATTTAGTCCTAAGGATTTCCAGGAAGTAACCCTTGTCTGTAATTTTCCTTACATGCCCATTCTTCAGAATAATCTATCTTGCCATAAGGAACCTTGCCGTTCTTGCTATTTCCACCTACTGCTCCCTAATTTTAAATTTCACTCCATTAGCTTTTGCAGTATATACAGAACACAACAGTGTGTGGTGGCTTCACAGCTAATTCCCCTGAAGCATCCCTGGTGTGGGTTTTCAGGGGGACACGCTGGCATGTGGTCCCTAGGAGCCCCTTGAGGAGGAATGTGATGGGCAGTGTGGGTCAGGAAAAAGCCCCAGCTGTACCTGGCTGTGAATCCTTTGCTCTGCTCATAGTTTACACCCCCTGGTAGTCGCAGACAGCTCTATCATGTTCCCCCACACCTCCCAGTTGTCACGTAACGGAGTGATGCATATTTAGTTCAATTAATTTTGTTCCATAAATCAGTCCCTCCAGCTCCTTAATCATTTACTGACTGCTTAACAAATGCATTTGGATGGAGAGACACTAATGCTAGCAACAGCAAGACTTTTTAAGGGAAATAAAAGCTTTGTGTAGACACGACACAAACCTGCCAATCTTGTACCCTTCACTTGAATGTTTTTTTCCAACAGAAAATCTACACTAAAATATTTATCAGCCTGTAAAAAGATCATCATTGAATTTTTCTTGCAATTAGGGAAACACAAACAGTTAAAATAGAATAAAATATGTGCTTCATCTGAAATGTATTCTTCTTGCTGTCAAAAAAGTAACAACAGGATAATTATTTTATTTGAACTAAAAATTGAAAATGAAGGTCTAGCTTTTTATAAAATGGGAAAAAGATTTTAAAATTCAAATGGGAAGTGAAATAAACGTATTTTCAGGACTGAAAAAATTGTTATATGAATGTTATATGAAAATTGGTCCATAACATATATGGACATTAAAATACACATAATAATTCCAAAGAAGCAACAAAATGTGACCCAGATTTTATATTTAATATTTTGCATTTGTAATTTGTCAGGGAAAAATAAAGGGCTTTAAAGGGCACAAAAGCATGATCAAGAAGAACCAGAGGAGAGTTTTCTTTGGATTCTGTACAAGGAGGTATTGGTGACTTTAAATTAGGGAATAAATACTCAACTAGAAAGGACTTCACTACACCTTCAGACCATCTGCTCTCTGTTACAGAGAACCCATGCTCTTAAATATCTTTGGAAAAATTTATTGAGCCCCATTTTAAATGATGGCAGCTTATGTGCCATCCCTCCTCCCTCCACTTTCTCTCAGCCCACTGACCAAGGACATCCTTCCAAAATTGGTTCCAATCCTCTGATTTACAATCTAAATTTATTTAGGTTATTTACAACCTAGTGTAATTTATGTCCAGTTAGTTTTGGGTCAGCACTGTCCTTCAGTTTAAATGTCTCTGTGACTATTTATCTTCTTAAGTACTTTTAAAGAGCAACAACACAGGTCTGTGTTTTGCTAGGCAAAACATGTGGGGGTTCTGAATTCTCTCCCAGTAACACAGCTCTCCTTTCCCCTGACCACCACAGCAGTGCTTCCTCTGTACCTGTTCCAGCTCTGAACTTAGGAAATAGCAATCTTACAGGGCTCACCTCAAATTCTGTAGGATGGAAACAAGAATTCTCCTTTTGCTTCTCCTGCGCAACATCCTGGAACATAATCTGATAATGACTAATGCAATTTCGCTTGCTAAAAGATTTTTTTTTTTTCAAAGGGTCTGCCAAGAGACATAGTGAAACAAGATGCAGGTTCCTATCTGGCACTGTTTACTCATCTGGGAAATTCCAATTATTTCATTATTGGTGGTCACAGCACTGGCACAGACATACCACATCCTTGGGACAGATACAATACCAGAGGAGAGATTCAATTTTTTAAAACATGAAGGAGAAAACTAATGGACACTACAGAGACAAGAGTGTAAGACAACTGAATTTGCCCTTGTAACAGAAAAGAAAACTGATGCTCAGAGGTGAAGACACAAGAATTGCTGCCTTAATTAAGAAGCCAGGAGAATTCTTTGCATGAAGACCTGCTTCAGTACCATTTAGGATATGCAATTTAAGATATACACTCTGGTTGTGAGGAGAGGTGATATTCCCCAATCTTTAGAGAATGACAATAGCTAGTTTAAAATGCAGACTTTAAGACTGGCCTCCACCTTTCTTGACCTTGCAAAGATCATAAAATGCATGAACTGAAAGTCCTTAGATAATGAATTCATTTGAAATAAATGGTTGGATGTCTTATTTTTTCTGTTTTCCCAAAGGTCTGAGGACCTTTTAAATATTTTTCAGTTGTTGCTATTTTACCAGGGAGATGGGAGCTGTTTTGATTATTCATTTTTTGGACTGTATTTTCAAGCAAAAGCTCAGTCCGATGTAATAAAAGAGAAAAGGCCATAGTGATACATGTATGTGTTCATTCTCACCAGTGTGATAATCTGCTTCAGAAATCCCTGTGAACAAGTCACACACACACATATATGTATGTATGTGTATATATATATATATATATTTATATTTATATATATGTAATTTCACAAGTGTTTCTATTCTTGCCAAGCAGCCAAATGTTTCCTGAGCAACAGAAACCTGGTTCACATTGGTATCTCTGTTCCAAATCTCCTGGAGCCAGAGGGGTCTGTTGAAGAAGGGGAGCAAGCCTCTATCCTTCCTGCTGAACTGGAGGCAGGAAAGTGCCTGGAGACAAAGCAGCAAGTGAGGCTAGAAAAGCTTATGCAGTCTTTCCCTAGTGGTAAAGTGGAGTTGAAGTACTAGAGTTATAAGAAATAAGCTTCTGTAAGATATCCTTTTTTTGACCTGGAAGGTACTGCACATTCTTACAGTGCTCATCAGAAAGCAGATGTAGTGATCTTCAGCTCTTGAGGCAGTACTTGCATCCACCTGCCAGCAACAAACCAGGAAGCACTGAGCAGAGCATATATTGTTCAAACAGTGTGCTATTATCTGGACCTTTGATATCTAGGGAAATCTGTGTATGATGTTTCTTACCCCTGAGAATAATTTGTAAGTCCAGGGCCATGACGCACCAACAGAAAAAAAACCAAAACAAAAACAAACCAAACAAAAAAAAAAAAAGTTTGTTCTTTCAGGTCTATACTACATTTATTTTCCATCAGAAGTCTTTCGTCCCTGCTGTAAATATGTCCAATACTCCATCTCTCTGATATAGGCATAATCTTTTTAGAGGGTTTTTTTAAGCCCTGCTGTGAAACATGAAGGCCCTAACATTAAAGCTGTCACATTCTCAAGTCAGAAGAGGAGGAAAAAAGGGTCCACATACGCAACCAGCAAAAGAGGCATAAGAAGTTGTTATGTTTGTATATTGGAAGATGCCTCTGGCTTCTCAAAGTGAAGCATCATTTTGGACAGAGGAACACCCGACAGAGGAAGGCACCAGGCACCCACTGCAATCACAGAAGGGCTTTGGCTGTAAAAGCCTCTGGTATCCTCAGCTGGGGTAGTTTTTTCTGAATATTTCCATGAAGAAGAGCAGGCCTGCTCCATTAACCCAGGCAAAATGTTTGCCACTGTGCCTAAAAACACTGAGTATCACCCACAGTTAAAATCTTTGCTGGCCAGGCAAATTTTGCACAGGGGACTTTGTAAAAAACTCTGCTTCCACTTCTTCTCCAGCTAACTTGCTCTTTGGGGAAATCACCCTCTCCTCTTCCCTTACTCTTCCCTTCTGCACTGTCAAAATAAAACAATAACAACGTGGCAATTGTCTGACATGACACAATTTTACCATGCTGGATTAGTGGATTAGTAATGAATCCTTGAACAGTTGTTATGACATGGGCAAGAAAATCAGCAATGGGGATGCTGTGTGCTTTCACGGAGGTGCTCTGAGGCTGCCAGGGATTCCCAGCCTGGCAGGTCCTGCTGCTACTGCAGGGAAGTCCCAGAGGAGGACATGGAGTGATGCCCTTCACCAGCAGCTCAGGTCTGCTCTGCCACACCTGAGAGTGACCAAGGCATGGCTGGAGGCCCATGGGTGGGAAGCCAGAGAAACAAGAAGGAGCCTGGACCCATAGGATAGCACAAGAGCTTACTTAAAAAGAAACAACAAAAAAAGCCAAAGCAATTCTAAACCATCTCCAGAAAAAAGAAAACAGGATAAAAGAATGAAAGAAAGGACTGTAGTGACTGTAGTGGAGGTAGAAATTGAATTCCACAATAGGGAACGAAGTCACATATCTGAAGCAAACTCCAGACATCAGCCGTTCCTGGAGCCCCCCAGAAACAAGAGGTACACAGAAGACTGCCCACCAATGCTCAGCAGCCCTTTCATGGGCTGGCACACCTGGCATGAATCTGGATCTGCCATCCCCTTTGGGTGACCTGTGGTTTCCCTCTCAAGCTGCTGTGGGGACAAGTTCAGCTTGGCTGTCTCAACAGGGCAGAATCATAGAATAATTTAGGTTGGCAAAGACCTTCAAGATAGAGTCCAAGCAATAACCTAACAGTGCCACGTCCACCACTACACCAAATCCCTAAGTGCCACATCTACACATCTTTTAAATACCTCCAGGGATGATGACTCAACCACTTTCCAGGACAGCCTGTTCCAGTGCTTGACAACCCTTTCTGTGAAGAAATTTTTCCTAACATCGAGCCTAAACCTCCCCTGGTGCAACCTGAGGCCTTTTCTTCTTGTCCTAGCACATGCTCCTTGGGAGAAGGGAAAGCCCAGTGAGAGCCTGGCATGACTCATCCAGCAATCAGCAGAGCTCTGGATCGCTGGAATTTGCTGGGAATTTTCACGCTAGAATCAGCTGTGTGCTGTGGGCATGTAGCCAAATGGAAAATAAAGCCACGCTCAGATATCTCCAAACAGCCTCATCTTGATAAGATAACACGACCAATCTGAGCTAAATTTGATTTTAGGTGCAGCTCTACAGAAATGAAGACATTGAGCTGTCTACAAGCACACAGAGGGCATGGCTGGTCTCAAAACTACTCTCACCTGCCCTGCTTCTCCCCCTTTTCCCAGACTCCCAAAGAAAGTAATTTATTGATGACTGTTTCCAGAAATGCCAGAGAAGAGCAAGGACATAAGTGTTAAACAAACAAATAAGAATTTGTGGAGATGGAGCTTTATGTGAGACTGTAGTAACCATAGCATAAAGGAAATAAAATGTTTTCAACTTCCAAAGTTCCTTTGCCAGATGGATCGATAATTAAATCATTTGCACAACAAATAAAACAACTGGAGGTTGCTAAATTTTTAGGTAACTGCTTATTCACATTCTCACAGAAAGTTAATGAGATATTTTGGCTAAAATGTTAAATGATACTTCCATAACGCTATTCCAAAAATCTAAATTTAGAGTAGATTGTTACAGTGATGCAGATGGCTCTGGGACCCTCTCATATTGATTTATCATTATTTATTAATACTTTTTAATAAATGCATCAACAATGGAATTTGGCCAATCTCTATGTATCTCTGCCTCTACTCAGCTTTCATTCACACTGAAATCTTATTCTACGAGCAACCAGCATCACTGACTTTTGGAAACTACATTGAATAATCCTTTATTCTGTCATGGCAGAAGACTTTAAAATCATATTTACAGAAATTTAACTTAATGAACTTTTGCCAGTCTTATCTATGTTCTGGTGAAGAGTATTTTTTAATATAGGATAAGAAGCTTTAAAAAAATGTATTTGAACAAGGATGCTTTTGCTTATGTTGTGATTTAATATCATAACCTGCTTGATAATAAAAAATTAAAATCATCAAGAGTTTCAACCATCAAATTAAAATTGATGGCTAAAAGTTCAATCATCACTCACTTAGGAAGCTCATCCCTCTGCCCTACCAGTTTCACCCTAACAACCCTATTTGATGAGGCAGGTTGGAAAGGGTTATAAATGAAGGAAGAATTTAGCCCTAGAAAGTGGGATTTCTGAAATCATTACTGACACAATTTCAGGATGCTAGAGTCAAATGAAAAACCATTAAACTTCAAGTCTGATCTTTAAACATGAAGAGCAATAATCAAAGTAAAACCTGGCACCTACCCACTTCAGCCAAAGTCTTGATACAGGACTCCACTGAGGCTTTCTGTGTTGGGTTTGGCCAGGTACAGTTGTAAATTCTAAAAGCAGACTGCAGCAGCTGAATAAAAACAGGCTGGTGTGTCTGAAAACAAAAACAAACACGGAATTTTACCCTTAAGGATCTCCTCACAGCTGCCTTACTGTTTGACACAACGTAAACCAAGGGGGTTTTAGCCTGTAGACTCAAGTTATGGCTCCATTAAATTCTCTTTGATCTTTAGGTCTGGCAGGAGCAGAAATCAATGCTGCACCTCTAAATAGGCCAAATCATGCAATTTGTCCTCAGATTGTCACTGATATCAAGCAAACACAGTACACACTAGAAGGACAGAGGAGATTTTCCTGTCCTCACACATTCTGTCACAGGGTACAGCATCTCCCTCACACAAAGATTTTTTTGCAAGGATATCCCCTCCAATGAATTCACAAGAGCCAGAAGTAACTTTGACCACACTGAGCTGTCTACTGGTTTGAGATGTAAGCAATTAAAATGAAGAATTAAGTGTTTTAAAGAGGGATTAAGCTGGTAGTCAGTGGCATGAGAGGGGACAGAGAAATTAAAGAAGGATGAAAAGAGACAGCATTCCTATGCAAGTAGCAGAAGATATCTCCTTAATGACTTATTTGAAGTCCTGAGTTCTCCTGAATAACTTATTTTCCTGTGTCTCTTTTCCTTACCTGGAGGCTGGTGCTGTTATCTGAAAATGGTGAATTGAAGAAGCCACTCACAATGCTCATGACAGGCTCAGTGACATATTTCTCCAGAGACGTGTCTGCATGTTTACGATCCGTGGTTGTGTTACAAACCTACAGGGAAGGAGAAGGAAACAATGAGATTTAGTTCTCCCCAATAAGCAAGCTTCATTATTTTGTGTTTATTGCAACACATCTGATATTTTTTCTTAAAGTAAAAACAAAATATTTTTATATAGTATCTATCAGAGAGCACTATGTTAGAGTTGAAGCTGGATTTGTTATAATTGTTATCTTTCCTATTGGAGGTCCACCCTTCTCTTCTAAACTAGTTCTTTCTGGCTGCCTGCTTCTTCTTTCCCACACCATGAAGAAAAGATCCCCCAAAATCAGCACACTGCATGCCACTTACATATTTAGACAGTTTCAAGAAGAAACTGGACCTTTCTTCCCATTGCAGGGCTAGCTGGAAGATGCTTCAGAGACAGGTGAGTGATAAACAACCGAGGTTAGAAAGATTTGATACAACATTTAGCTTCTCTCAACAATTAATCACCACAACTAGGTGGTAAAGGTGGAGCTCATTTGCAGGGCAAACATTTAAAAGGAAGGAAAAAAGGGGAAACAGCACACTCAATACCAACAGGCTTTAGGACAGTACTGGAAGTAAGACAGCATTTCTTTGGGAAGCCACATGGGGAAAATACAGAAGCCAAGCTAAAACACTGATAGAAGGGAATGGATGATACCAGGACAAATCTGGAGCACAGAAGGATGATTAAACAGTGGGAGGAAGTGGGAAGATTTGTACAAAAGGTCCCTGAAGACTCCCTTTGGTACAACACTTTAAGTTTGTTGCTGCGTAAAGATGTCACGCTTAAAGAAAGGGGAAAATTACTGGTGTGGATTACATCCTTCAGTATTTCCTTTATTTCTCTTCAACACTTTTGAACATCTATACAGTCATTTTGAATTTGCATGTGTCAGTGTACACAGTACTGAAAGGAGTCTTCAGAGAGCCAAAAACAGTGAGAAAGGCAAGACAAACAGGTAATCAAAGACAAATAAGGAGTACAGACTGTGGTCATACTACCTCTTCAACAGTCTTTAAATAAGAAGTTGTGGTCACGTTTAACAAGAAATGAAGGCAAAGTTGTTATCTCTTTCACCTAAACAAGTGAGAGACAACTGCAATGTTCTAGGGAATCTATGCAAAAGCAGACAAAAACTCCAGGGGTTTTCATTGCCATCTGTGCATTAACACATAACCCCAAACCTGAGTGGCACACGCTTACCATTACATCTCTTCAGGGATGGAGAGTCCAGAGAAAGGTCACAGGGAAAAGGTGTGACAGAAGCAGAGAGATAATCCACAGCACCTGAATCTCACACAGGGCAAAGATTCTCTCTAATTACACACTGCCACTGTCACTACAAGACAGCAATTGCACCAGGAATGTTTTAAGGAAGTTTATTGACATGACATCCAAAAGCACCTGTGTTCAGGGTAGATGGAGCTCAGGGGAACACAGAAGGACCTTGCATCTAGCACACAAGCATTGTCATGTAGTAAGACAAGGAAAAACCAAAGATGATTTCAGACCTAGACAAATGAGGCATCTTGAGGAGTTTGCTTGTCTGCTTATCTAAAATGTGTCAGATAAATCAGTCACACCTCCACAGAATGCATTTTTTTTCACCCCAGGAAAGATTTTGGTCAGAGAAGCAACAGTGGCTAAAATGAAACAGCAAGCTCATCAGCCTGTCTGTTTTGGGAAAAGTGTGACACCATCACCACCTCCAGTCCTCACGAAGGTAAATGATTCAGTTAATAATCAAAACTTGCTATTTTTTTTTTAAAAAAGAGATCATTGAACTAAATATCTCTGGGAGTTTTTTTGCTTTTAATTAATCTGCATACCACTTGTGGCTGGAATCAGTAGCTGTGAGCTCAGCACCTGCAATCCCAATAGGAAAACAGGAAGCTGTGCTAGCACAGTGAATGCAGAAATCACCAAAACTAAATTCCAGAACACTTTTAAGCTTCCCCCTTCAGCTGCCTGAAAAGCAGAGCCATATGTGGGAATACCACTGTGCTCCAACACTGGTCTGAAAAATTCCCAGCAAAAAGGAATTTGGAAATCCTCTCATTAGTTCTTATCCCTCTGCCCTTTGGGGACTGAAAGATCTTCCTCCATGGAAAAAAAAAGCAAACCTGAAATGCATGAAATGGAGATGAGGACTGAGAAAGCAGTGTTTAAAAACCCCTTAAGAGGCTTTGGGACCAAAACTCACATGAATAATACTTTAAAAATTCTGCTGAGAAAGCCAGGATGACTTTACAGCTGTCAGATCCCTGGCTCTTGTCTTTAATCCTGCTCAGACTACAGCTGCTGATTTACACACAGGCTGGGCCACACGCAGGGAAGGGAAGCCATTCCTTGAGCAGCACCCAGTTTGCTCAGCACAAGGCTGTAAGTCACACCCAGCAGAAAGTAGGTTGGCAGAAGCTGTAGAAACAGGGTATCTTTGAAAGCAGGACAGCTTTTGGCACACCCAGTTTATACACAGATCCGCCTCATGCCTTCATTTGCAATGTATCACATTGAAAGGAAAATGACAACTGGGGACTAAATATTTCCTTCCTCAATCCAGAAACAGATAAAAAAAAAAATCAGTTACTTTTTTTTTTATTTTTTTAATATATATCTGAAACAGAAGGAATCCAACCTGGGGATAACACCCTCCGTCTTTCACCTTGGTGCTCTCCAATAACAGGCTCAAAGCTCACAAACTCACCCACTGACAGGCATTTGTAGCAGCTAAAAGAAAAGCATTTCCCCTTCCCCCATGCAAAAGCATCCCTTTTAGCTCACTGGAACACAGAGGATCAAAGGACTCTTTTTCTAAATGCTTTGAAAGCTATTGTAACATCTTTCATGAGGCTGACAGCATTCTAGCTGTCCTGATAGCTACAGAACACTGATGTATTTATAACACACGGGCTCTGTCAGGGCCCCAGAGCACCAAATCTGAACAAATACACTCCATAACCTGGAAAATACAACTATCCATGGCTGGAGAGCAGAACAGGCCAGAGCACTTCTGACATGCTTGCAGGAGAGCAGAATAAACCTGCCAAATAAACCTGCTTTTTGCCAAAAGCACCTGCATACAAAATGCAGCATTTTCCCTCTTCATCTCTGAAGACCTGGAGTCTAATTTCTCCTAGGAGAAGGGTGTGTGAAAACAAGCTCACTGGCCACCAGCATCAGGACAAGCCCCCAGCATTTAGCCCAGTGCAGTTTGTCTCCAGGCTCATGAGAGGAAACCTGAACAGAGCCCTCTTTCTACTTGTCTGCTTCTAGCCCAGGGGCACAGAAAATTGGCCACGTTCAAGGGCTAGGGAGGAGGGATAGTCTGTATGGAAGGTCAGTGTCAGGAACATCAGGAAAGAGCAAGCCAGAAAGGGAATTAAATAGAAGGAAATACTTCTTGAGGTAAAACCAGTAAGGTTAAAAGTCAGAATGCTCCTCCAAGGATGTTTCTCATCTTAGCTTTCAACCCAGGTTGTTTTGTCCAGGAGAGCTTTCACTGTGGAACACAACCACAGGGACAAAACAGCAAGAAAACAGAGTTTGTACAGGACTAATTATTGCTGAAAATGGCTACCACCAAAAAAAGAGAGCACAAACATCCCTGCCTTAACCTGCTCCCAGGGAAAAATAAAAAGGTTAAAAAAAACAAAACAAAACAAAAAAACACAGAAAAAAAAAGCCACAGAGGAAAAAATCCAGCCATGTTTAAGGTTTCTGTTTCACAGAGAAATGAACAGGTCCCAGTGCCTATTGTACAGCACAAGTCTTTTTATTCCTTCTTATTTTAGACAAAATTCATGATATTTTCTCCCAGTAGGTTTTACAGCAATTATTTTGTGGCACACTATTACTTTGGGATCAATGTCTGCTGCAGGACCAAACTGAGATTCTTTGCCTTTTTTTCTTCATTTCCGTGAAATGAAGAATGCAAAAAGTGAGAACTTAAGTACTATAAAATGTAATGGACTATGGACTGGAAAAACCCAAAACCCCATGGTTCTACTTCTTGAGCAGAAAGAGTAACACCATTGTTTGTCATTAATATTGTAATTATTTATAATTACAAGAAGCATTAACGTCCTAGAAAAAGATGTGTAGTGCAGGCTATAATCATTACATCACACTAGCTTCCCCTCATGGCTCTACTATTGTATTTAATCACTGTGGAAGTCATAAGATTGCTCTTGTTTTCTGCCTTCAAAATCCCTGGGAAAGGAAGCTTAATTCATCTTGTAACTTAAAATTTAATTCAACAAGTACTGACACCATGAGGCTCACTGAGGATTTAGGAATGGCAGTACTGGTACTACCTATGGTACTGACTGAGCCCTGTCACCTTGCAGCTGTAATTTATATTTGAATTAGTATTCTGAGGGACCACAGCTCTACACCTGCCTTTCACATCAGCAGTGAGAATGCAGTGACAGGAGAATACAAGACAAAAATAGAGACTAAAGAAGGAACACGAGCCAGAGAAGATCTTGATCTGATTCTCACTATAACAAAAGAATAAAGGAAGAGATTACAGATGTGGGGGTTTTTGTTACCACCATAATGACATTTAACACACATTCCCAAAAGATGTACATAGGCTTTCAACCATGTACACACACCTAATTTATTTCTCTGTAAGAAAAGAGAACGGCAGTGGTTCCAAGATGCCCTTTTAGAAAGAGAAGGCTGCTAGTAATTAGCAGGTAAAAAGATGATAAAGATCATAGAAATGACTGTTTGTTAAATAAACAAACCAACCAACCACACTTATCCTATTGTCAACTTTGAATAAGAATAGATAACAAAATAAAAGAAGTTCATAAAAAAACATTACTGCCAGTTCAGTTGTCACCCATGACCGACCAGTCTGTAATATTTAACACCTGGTAAAGCTTACCCTTGCCATATCAACAAGGAAGTTCTCAAAAAGTTTCCAGATATGGTTACTGGCGTAGATTTCTTTCATTTCCACTTCAGTGTCCACATAACAGTGGTTAACAAAATTAACATAGGCAATTTTCACCTGCAGGAACAGAGAGAACACAACCACTATGAAATGGAACAGTAAAAACAATTAACATAATGTTTTCTATCCGCAAAAATACTGAACAATAAAGATGAACCTTCCAGTACTAACAAACAGTCATAACCATAATAATGCATATGTTTGGTTCTGAAGATTTAGGGAGAAGCAGGGCAACACATGCCTTAATGTGCTTACTGAAAGACCACAGGAGGAAAAATGAAAAGGTTTTGCAAACATCCTTACTCTAATGACAAAACCTCCACAAAACAAACCAGTAACGATTCTGGTATTTAACTGATATTAAGACCAGCGAGGCCTGGCTCCAAAGCCAGAAGCTGTCAAGATGCAGGATACCCCTGCATTTACCAGTTGACTGCGGTAGGTTGAAACCTTGTGACAGGCTTGCCAGATATAAAATAAAAAGTCTTTTGCAGAGCTGGGACTGAAGTCCCTGTATTTCCACAATCCTAATGCAGCACTTGTATTTGGGATCTAAATGGCAGAGAAAGGTTGTGGCACACTGGGACTGCAGCAGTGGCAGCACAAGGCATAGGAGGAGGTCTGCAGTTGCACTCCTCTCTGGCATGACAAGTCTGCATGTGCACAGCATAAAAATGGTTATCCAGTGCCCAAAATGTATAGATTACATATAAACACATGTAATATACTGAAAATTTCTTGTCACAGTCAAGGAAGATGAGTTAGTTGTGTATGTTTAATGCAGTGAAGAGAAAACTAAGATCAGACCTTTAGGTTTCTTCTGTTTGGGATTTTTTTTCTAATTACCATCTGTTGAAATTAATGTTAAGGGGAACTTTTGGGCAAAGCAAACATATTTCCTTTTAGTAATAGGATCATTTGATCACAAGGGCAATTTTCATGGCACAGAGAGAGATTTAACCCTTGCAGGCCCCAGTTCTGTTGTTTTGAGACCCATTTTTCCACCAGGTAATATCACAGTCCTAATTTAGCATGACACGTGCAGAATTGTGCCTTCATATGCAGTGAATAAAAACATTTTCAGGACTGCAATTGAATTTAATAAAATGAGACTTAACCCAAAATTTCCACTGACTTCAGCATGGACAGAATTTTATCCATCATTTCCAAGAAATTCAGGCAGTAGCAAAACATTGGCTTAACCCAACACTCAGCTGGGTCTTCACACCTTCAGATAGAACTTATGAAAGCATTAAACTCTGACAGTGGCTGGACAAACCCAAAACAAAACAAGGTGTCTGAAAAGCTGACAAAGCATTAAGGACAAGGAATTTTCTGTGATATAAATACTGTCTATCCTTTCTCACTCATTCACCTTAAGAAGCACCACTCAATTCCAGCCCATTTCCTGTGCAAATATTCACCTTGTCACTACCTTATAAACAACAAAATATTGGCTGTGTTTCTAAAAATGCTAAGTCTGCTTCCTCCTACCTCAGGTATGCAGTCATCATGGGTCACTACCCTCACGATATCATCCAGGGGCAGCAGTGAATTGCACTTGATCTCTGTGTACACGTTCTTGCCCTCTGTGCAGGCAGCCAGCAGTTCCACCAGAGTGATGTGATACGCCAAGGGCCCGCTCTCATCAGCTCGGTCGCGCTCTGAGCACATCATCTGCAGTAGCACTGGGAAGGATGCTCTGTCGTTGTAGAATATCAACACGTCTTCACCACCATTTATCAGCTGAGAAAGAGATCACGAGGTTCTGAGTGCCCTGAGCTGAAATCTTTTTAAACTCAATGATTTTGAAGGTCTTTTCCAATCTAAATGGTTCTATGATTTTCTTAATATCATATTTTATCTCTAAGTATGCAAAGATTCTCTGGCTAAAACCGAAACAACTAAACAAAATCTAGTCTGATGCAGTTTGCCAAATGAACATGTCAAAACAATATCCAAGGCAAACTTCTGCTCTTATCAACATAAGCGCAAAACTGGAATAACTCACACCGATGCAAGGTGAATTTGAGGTTTCATTTCTGTGTAGCTCTGTCTTTACCTAAGACAGCATGCCATCCTTATTATTCCTAGCATCTCAAAGTTTGTGTGAAGTTCATTAATTATCCCCACCTCCTGCTGGGAGGCCAGCATGCATTACTATCCCTGTTTCATAGATAGGCACTTGAGGTTAGGCAAGTGAGATTAAATCTTCCATGCTGCCTCACACAAAAAGCCTGTGGCTCACCCAGAACTGGACCCAGCTTTTCCTTGCCCATGCCAAGTATTGGAAACAAAAGGAGATTCTTCCTACCCTCTGCAAACTTGGCAGGTGGGTCATGACTTTGTCAGTGTCATGTCAGCTCTTTCATTTAACAGAAAACTGGTATATGTGATAAATGTTTGATTCCACTACAAGTGCTCTGCTCATCTCAAGAGGATCCAGAGCGGTGCTGGATGGCGGCAGCCCCATCTCAGCACATCTCACTGAAGAGCTTTGCTCTAACCCTGTTTGGAATCCTCTCTCCATCACTGTCCTTTGGAGCACAATACACTCACAATGTGAGTGAAATAAGCTCCCACAAACCCCTCCTAGTACAGAACACACCCTGGCAGCTCAAAAGTCACACTTATTTTGTGAATTAGGCACTTGACCTATTCCAGTCCATATGTGACATGAAATCCCAGCTTATTTAATTTAAGGGTAGTCATAAAGGTTGCTGAAGCTGCTGAGAAATGGGGAAGCAGCAAGAACAGGAATTAAAATTAGTCTCCCAGAATAAAAAGTCAAGAAAACATTTCATTACACTTTCCAGGGTTTCAACACTTCAGATTTTGAATTCACAGCTTTTCTGTTTGTGCTTTCCCTTTTTCTTGCTTAATTTTACTTTGACATTTGGCTGGAGTGAATTGTGAATTCAGTCTTTCCTGCAATTCCTATTTCTCGTTTATCTTTGGGTTTCTACAGTATTTCTATACCCAGGACTTTTCAGACATTTTCTGGACAACCCACAGTACAGAAAAAAATAAAATTTAAAGGGATGAGAGCTTACAACAAAACAACCCAGCAGCACTTTCTGCCACTGAAGTATATTTTCAGCAAGTTTAGAATTCTATGGTAATATAATAAAGGCTGTCCAGCTGTTGATACTCTGCAAAATACTACTCCAGAATACTACAGGTAATAGAAAACTCTGCTGCCACATTGAAAGTAAATTCTGCTTTCCCTTCTGTAAAAATGTTTGCACTGACAGGCAGGGTTCTCCCAGGAACCTCAAAGCCTACTTGCAATGAGAAAAAGCACCCTAAGGAACCTCTCAGGTTGGTAAACATAATTTCAGACATGGAGACCAAGGAGATGAGAATAAGGGAATCAACCAAATTTGGGATGTCCAATGGATTTTATGAGAGTGTTCTCTTGCCATGGTGCTTCTTCATCTGCATGCACTTTCTAGAATATATAAATATGAGGATTATCCCTCCCTCCCAGTAAACAGGAACAAACTACAATATACTTCCTGTGGGGGAAAGAAAATGCAGCAGGAGCTGAGGCAAGCTGTACAGTCATATTCTGTCTTGTCTTGTGGTAAATTGTTTATGTGCCCCATCTGGAGGCACAGGAAAAGCTACAGCACTTGTTTAAAAGTCACAAAGTACATCTCAGTTGTCTAGAGAGAAACCGTCCAAACTCTATGGCAAGCTCCAACCACTTGTTTCCTTTAGAGTGGATTGCCATTCAAGTACCATTCAAGTTTTGCAATTAGCATCCTTTTCTAAGAAATCTTAATTACTTACCTGTCAATTCCTACTTTTTGAAAAACAGATCATTATCTTACCCTATTTCATCAAAACAGGGTTGCTCCCTTCCCCCAGGAAATTCCTGCAGGACTTATGATGTGAATGCCATACCCAAGTTCATTTCTACTTTCATCATGGAGTCAGCTTGAAAATGTAATATGACAGTTTATCTTTGTGCTCCAATAGGTCAATAGCAAAATATATTGAAACTGAGAAAAATCTGAAAATTTTGTTTGATGATTAAAAAAATCCTCTAGAAGAGCCTTTGGTGGAAGCAGAAAAATCTAAAACCACAAAGGCACAAGAAATGTTTGAATTATGTAAATCAAAGACTTGTAATTGAAATTGCATGTTAAAATACTTCAGTCAAATTGAAAAGGTTGAGGTGAATTTCATTAAAGGTTATCCATGTAGGCAGGAGCTTTATTTTCTTAATTAGAAGTTTTTCCTCTTGTTGCTGTGAAATAAAATTTCACCATGGAATTTTGTTTTGTTCAAACCACAGAAAAATAAAGCTCATCTCTGATTTCTTTGTGAAGACATCTCTTAAAAACACCAAACCAAGCCAAAAAAAAAAAAAACCAACAAAAAAAGCACTTTGTAAAGCAAGTAAAAATGTTCCTTGGACTCTAATCCTACCATGACTTTTCACCATATTCAACTTTACCCACTTACTAATCTCAAGGAACTGTTAACATAATTACAGTTAAATGCACAAGTGTCTGCAAGGATGAAGACTTCATTTATCATGCTCACAATATATCAAATCCTAAATGCAGAGAAAGTCAATTAAGTTTTTTCTTAGGAAATTTATTGGCATAAAGATTTTTTCACAAACCACTCGGCTGAATTTACTGGGTCAGACTCTGAATCCATCTAGTTAAAGCCAGAGCAGTTCTACTGACCCTCATGGAAATGTTCTGAAATAAAAAATAAAAAAAGAAACAAAAAAAAGGCAGAAATTACATGCCAATAAAAGGTCTTCAACACTATTTAGACAAATCCATAGAGGTAAGAACCTCCTGAATGGCAAACCCATGCCACAAGAGTGGATAAAGGCATTCCTAAATTACATTACAGGAAAATGAAGGTTTATGTAACTCTGAGATTTCCATGCTAAATCATCTACAAATAGACATCTCTGTATCACCATGCTAACACTCATGTTTTCTTTCTAGTAGTTATACAGATGGCCTTACAAAATTAGATCAAACTCCCCAAAACGTCTGCTAAAATATTCATTATTTGTGACGCCGCTTAAAATTCTAAAGTGAGGATGCCATTATATCTCATTGGTATCAAGAGCAGGAAAAACAGCCTCAAAATACTCAAGTGATTAACATGTGAAGCCTTTGCTTACCTCTGTCATTACCATGTCCTGGCACTTTTTCACGTATTTGCCATCTGCTTTCACGATGGTCTGCAAGAATCGCAGGTACTCCACGTGCCGGCCATGGGTCTCGATGCAGTGCACAAAGTGCTGCACCACCCTCTCGCTGATCTCGTTGCACAGGAGGTAATTATTCATGAAGATGTGCCTCATGGTCTCAGCTTCCAGGAGCTGAACAGATCAAAAACAGCCTCATGAGCACAGCAGATTTGCTTTGAGATTAAGAGAGGCACGGGATTCTCGACTAGAGGAAGGCTCAGTGGTAAAGGGAAACTGAAGAAATCCTTTCAGTGATCTCAGGGTCCAGGTTCCAGTTTTGAGGGGATTTCTCCATACTTCCTTATGAGTACAAAAAGTCCTAAAGTGGATATAAACCACACCTGTGTCCATGTGGAAGGTGAGCACACATATACACTACACTGCTGGAGGCTTTGCAGGGGCTTTGGAATCCGAGACACCTGAGACCACACTGGCCCCACTCACCATCAAACTTTGCAATGAGGCCACCTAACGAGATGATGTGCTTCTCTGGCTCTCTCTGGGGCTCACAGAGGAGGCATTTCCACCAGGCACATCCCTGCATATGCAGCCTGATGGTCTGCCTCAAAGGGTATGTCTCTTTCCACATTAACTCCAGAGGGAAACTAGGGCTGTGTGTCCATGAGCAGCATGGAACAAGAGGAACAGATCTGGAGCAAGAAGGGATTCTGCTGAGGACACAGCACCCAGGCTTTGTGCATTCATGGGGCTTTTGCTCTAGGTTGGTCCCTTGGACTAAAGGCTCCTGAGGGTCAGATATGCTCCTACACGTGTCTGTTTAGTGTCATCTGATAGGAATCCACATCAAGTTTGCTCCACAATGTGCACAAAAGCACAGTAACTGGGGTGGATGATCAGGAAATCAGCTTCAAACAACAGAAATACAAGTGCAAGCTGGCTCCATGCTTGGCACCCGAATTAAGTGTCAGTATTGGATGTGATGGAATTCGGGCTCTGGTCCCACTGTGGTCAGCTCAGAGCTGTTCACTAATGTCACAAAAGAGCATAAATAAAATAATGGTACAAGTGGTTCCTAATGAGCACAGGGCAGGGTCTGCAATCCTCATACTCACAACTCCTTCTAATGAAAGCATGTTTTGCTCACTGAGCAAAACTGAGTGTTCTATTTGAATATGTCTATAAACACACAAATATATACAAAGGGATTGTGACAAAGTATTGTAAAGACAATGATTCAATAGAAGGTCAGACTTTAGTGGTTAGTTGACTCAAATGGGAGCATCATCAACAAAAATGTATGGGTCTGAGTCTGTTGTCACACAAGGTTTACAACAGCCGTCACAGTATTTCCTACCTTGACTTTACAGTCCATCAGTGAATGAGTCAGGATGAAAAGAATCAGAGTCAAGTTCAATACAATGATGTGACACACATTCATAGATCCTTCCAGTAAACCCCAAAGGTTTCTTGTTTTTTGTTTTTCACTTTTAAAATGGCAGCATTAAAGCCAATGACATAAAAAGCAACACTAAGGGAAATGAAAGAGGGGAGGGGAAGCATAGTTTAGTGAAATTATTTATTTAGCACTGGGATGTTTCAGCAACCCCAAATTTAATTCCAATTATCATATTCTATTTCAAATTAAATACTCACCCCTGGAGTTAAGAACAAGTTGAGATTTTTGTGGAGGAGAACTTGATTCTGAGGATTTCCTCGACAGAAATTCTGAAGAAAAGTGTGGGCTAGATTCATAACTTCATTCATCTTTTCATCACTCTGCAGGAAGAAAGGACAAACAAAATCAGCTGGTTATACCTAAACACACTTGTTAAAACCACACAACATCAATTCATCCAGGAATAAAACAATTCTCCTGAGCCTTTATAGGGCAGGAATTCTCCCTCTGGCAAAAGTAACTGATGTAGTTTCCTTCAGAGTCTATTAGCAGCTGTACCCTATTCTGAATCAACTTGACCATAGGGTCAATCACAGGTACGAGCATAAAATCAAAGTAAGATTTCTTCATGTATGGTTATAATTTCCTAGTTTAAAAAAGTGCTAAGATGCTTGATTTTAAAAAAAATCAAAACAAACCAAAAATGTCTCCCTGCATTTGTTTTAAGCTTTGGCAAAGGTTTGGCTTTTCTATAGCTACATACAGAAACAGATGTATGTGTGCATGTGTTCATACACATACTCCCACACAAATATATCTCTAGATTCATCCCCATTTTATATTCCTCTCATGTAGTATCCTAAGTATGATTTGATGAACCACCTGTATGGACAAGCACTATTTTCCTGATGACTGCTGAACCCAACTGTCTGTAATAAAACACACAGGAAAATATAACCCACAAGAGGTTTTACCTCCTCTTAGTGATTCCTAGAAGATCTAGAAAGATGTGCTCTTTCAAAGCCTATCTAGTTCATTCATTTGTATGCTCCATTCCACCAAATCAGTACCAAACAAATTTATCTTGTGAAAAAATGGCTAGTGGAACTAGGTTAGAGACATCCACCATACAAAGAAGTTATTTCAGATTTGATCTGTGAAAGCTTTTGGTCCCAAGGTTTGCCTACTTTAGGAATGGGTACAGCAATGACAGTATTGTGACATCCAGGTACCCAAAGCAATAAATATTAAATTTTAAATGAAACTGTGCAAGCAGCTGTATTTAAACTGAGCCCAAACTCACTATTCTTAAGGTAGAAAAAGACATCATCATTTCATGTTTGCACTGCAGCTGACAATTAAAAAATATTTCCATTGATTCTCGGGCCTACCAAGGCCTCTCCCTTCCTTGAGTTCATGTTTTCTACCACTAAAATTAGGAAAATAACCTTTTCATAGGGGATCTGCAGAAGGTCCAAGACTACCAAGTGGGCACCCATATTTTTCAGTAAACGCTGCTGTTGATTCCGACATTTTTTATTCTGAACACAAAGTTTGCTGAGTCGAATCAAAATCTACAAATTAAAAAAAACAAAACAAAGAAATAAACCAAACAAATAAATAAGCATGCAAGCAAGAAAAGAAACAAGTCATGTCACACAAAACCAAACAAAGACATTTTCTTTCAAAATAATTACTAAATCTACTAATCAAACAGATATGTCAAGCAAGTTTCTTAGCAGATATACTAACCTCTTTAACAATATTGTAGTTATTGCTTTTAATGCTGTCTATCTGGGGTTTTTTGGTCCCATCCTGTATTGGGCTCAAAATGTTTGATTCCTGTAATAAAGAACACATGACAAGTGGAGATTTATTGCAATTTCCTTAACATGAATTAACTGTATTTAATAGCAGCAAGTGACAGAGTATTACAGCAGTTCATAAGGAATTGATATAACACAGATAATAAAGAAAGACTCGTTTATTCTTTATCCAGTGAGTGACAAGATTTACATTCAAGTCCTTCCCTTGTTTCAAATTTCCAATGTAATTTGAGGCAATTACTCTATGTCTTCATGCTTCTGATCATTCTGAAAGAGTATGTCCCTAAATTGCAGATTAGGCACACCAAGGAATTAAAAAACTGCAAGGAGATGGACCAAAAGTGTATTTCAGTAGTGACCACATGTTCCAAAAAATACAGCTGGAAAGATTACAAAATCTGTGTATGTGAACACTAAAGAGTCTGGAGAAAGAGCTTAAGACAACCTCTGCAGTTAAGCAGGGTGGAGTTGTCAACAGCACAGGAACAAGCAGCATGTGGAAATTAGAGATGTTCCTCCCACAGAGGGGATGCTGCTTCTGCCTGTATCTCTGGATGAGGCAGGAAAAGATTTGAAAACAGATTGGAACCATATGCTAAACTGCAGCATCAAGTCATGACACTGTATGCTTTGGACCCTGGCTCCTGGAAAGCCCCAGCTGGGTATGATAAATAAGAGAAATCAAGTCAGCAAGAAACTGCCAACACCCACGCACCTTTCCATGCATATCTCTCAATCAAAACATGGGAGAACATGTACACAAATACTGCCACTAAGAATACTGGCAAGTGTTGGGGGTTTTTCTGCCGTCAGCTGTGGTAAGCCTTTCTTAAGAGGAAACAAAAATAAATTGAAATATTTGACTTCAGATGCTGAAGTCATAAAGCATGAAGAAAAACTAGCAGATCTCGAGACTGACTCACAGTATGACCACAAGGATGTAAACCAGTGTAACAGCATTAATAAAAAAGAAGAAACAGGTGCACTTCTGTGTTTCATTGTGTCCTCAAACTTCCTACTGTTTTAGAAAAGAGAAATACACTAAAGCAAATATATGCATGCCAAGCTGAATGTTTATATGTCCTGAAACCTCTCTCTGAACTTTCTTAGCTGATGGTGAAGGTCAGGAGTTCTATAAATCCCATCTGGTCCTAATTTCCAGTGAGGTAAGAACAGCTGCATCACTTGGCCATGGAAGCTGTTTATAAGAGTGTCAGCACTGCTGTTCAATGCTGATCTGTGTAACAAGAGCTGATTTTATTTGTTTAGGTTTGTTAGTATGCAGGCTGCTGTCTCTCTGTTTGAATCAATACTTTGGGAGATGTTTTAGGCTTTTTGCTGTAATTAACCACCCTCTCCATTCTGGGACTGTGGGTTAACCAAGATTAATTTACCTGTTAGTTTTATCAGCATTCTTACTTCATCAAAGTAGTTTTATAATCTGTGTGAACTGTATGTCTTATCTGGAAGTACTGATCAGTACTGCTGAATCTATCCTTTCTCTTAACAAAATAAACAATTGTTTATTGAACCCACAAGAGTATGCCAGGGATGTAGTTACCAAGAGATAATCACACCACTGGGATACCAAAGACACTCAGTTGCATATCTGGCCTCGTTATGCTCCATGACAGACATTCCCTGTCACACTTTCCCACAGGGAACAGGGAGGCACAGAGAGCTCAGTGTGAAAGGTTCTCACCTGAGTACCCTACCTTTAGGAAATTATGTTATCTGAAAGAGACCTCTTCCTCTATCCATAAAATTCCTGAAATAACACTTTGCATCAGTCTTAGATCCTTTCTTACGAGTCCCCAGATTCCAGCATTCAGTCTGAGCAGCTCCCCACCACCAACCAGTCTCCCTCAACCCATCAGGACAACAGTGCAAGGCACATGTCAGTGTCCCCAAGGCACAGCTTTGCCCTCCACAGGCTGTATTTCCTTACCAGAAGAATGAGGGACACATACAGAATTCTCAGTTCACAACCTCAACCTATATGTGATGTTTGTTCAAACATCCCCAGAACCAAAGCAAGGTGCCACAGAACAGAAGAGAAAGGAAGTAAAGGATCAGGTCCTGAAAGTTTAGACCACTGAAACCTTGCTGAACTTTCTCAGCAGATGGAAAAGATGAGGAACCTCATAAATGCCACTGCACTCTATTCCTGCTTCACCTTAAAATTCTTTCACTAAGCCTGTTTCTCCTCCTCACGTTCTGGCACAACGCCACAAAACTCGTCTTCCATGGATGAGACAATGAAAATCACACTTTCCGTGGTCTGTGGTATTAGCACAGACCCACAACACCCTTCCTAGGGAGAACCAAGTGAACAGGCTTTATCTGATTTCCCCTTCTCAAGCAGGGCTTGTATGCGAGATCAGTTGTAGCATTTCTTCCTAACCCTACTGGTGTCTCATTTATGTCTGACCTAACTCCAAGTACTCTTTCCAACTCTGATCTCCAGCCCTTATCAAGGCATTTTTCCTGTGGAGAACTCTGGATACTTTTATAAGAACAAGGCCTTTTTTTCTACAAATCCCATTTCTGGAGTCATATGACTAAAAAAAAAAGAGAAAAGGCCCACAGGTTATGATAGTAAGGTGAAAACAATTACTCAGGAAAAAAAAAAAAATATATTTTTAAACTCTTATGCACATCTTTCAACAGCTTTCATGTGACAACAGAAATTTGGGATTAACATTAGAATGTTCTGGAATGTCATTTAAGTCCTTGTGCACACTTCAATGTTCTTTGGGAAAAATTAAACACAGGCAAATGGGGCATATTCCCTTAAGACCTAAAGGTTCATCCAGCTCTTCTGAATATCCAGTATCCATTCCAAGGAAGCATGGATCTCATGGGATTTTTATCTGCTTAAAGCTAGACACCTGCTTTATACACTGTAGATTATGCCCAACATCACACCTTCTACATTTGATTTAAGACCTCAAAGAGAGTACTGACTATCTAATGTTACTTTTTTGCCAGGTAAAAACACATCTTCACTGTTAAAGGAAAATTTAGCAAGGGAAAAAAATGATGGACAAGATTCTGAGCTATTGTAACCTGGCACAGCTCTCAGGGAATTACCAGCAGACGAGCTAACCAGCAGATTACGTATTACTGCTCTGATACAATAATCTCTCTGATCTGCTAGAGATAATATTGTGTATCTACTGAAGCACTGCTAATCCATACAGACCCACAGGTGCCTCATGGGAAAAAAACCCTCAAAATATCCCATTGAGAGATGCCTCTGTTTCAAACACAATGTTTTTCCCCCTTTTCCTGGAGTTTTCTTGCTATCAAAACAACCCATAGGAATAAATTACACTTCAAAAATGTATTATAGCTAAAAAACTTGTTAATCCTGACACAATTCTGTTTTCTGTTTCCCCATTACCTTTTCAGTTCATTAAATACATAAAGGAACATTTTCTTTCCTACTAGAGCTGTACTTGAGGAAAGAAATAAGGAAATACCACATATTTAAGCACCAACTCCAGATTCCTCCCCTAATTTTGGCAACACTAAAGATGTGGTATCAGAACATCAGCTAAGACAGATCAGAGAAAGAGTAGGACCTACACTGTTGCAAGAGTTTGGGATTCTTCCTTGAAGTGTTGGATTTTCCCCTGCATGAAGCCACCAAAAATCTGCTTTCTCATCTAAAATACCACATGTGTGTCACAGATATTTGCAACTCTCCTCTCTATTCTCCCTGGCTCCAGGCTTTTCCTAATGTGTAGCCTTCACAATGCTGAATAACCTCTACTTGGCTTTCTACTTCCCTGGGGACTTCCTTACCCATTTTTCTTGGCAACAGGAAAGAGAAGGAAAATGCTGTGTCAGAAATCACAGCTGTTCATCTCTCCCCACCTCCTCTGATGAAAAGGGAAAAGTGGGAATAAATATTGGTGGAAAAGCCTGCTCTGTCTACTCTTTATCTACCTATATGGTACAAACCTCAACCACAGCAATACTTTGTGTTTTAAGAAAAGCTCATGCTGGAGTTAAATTATTAAATGGTGACTTCAGTTTGCACTGAAAAGCAAAATTTAAAACATCCAAACAATTAAATCTAAAAAAAATAAGATCAAAAAAAAGGACTTCATGGTCCTAGATTCAAGTTCTACATCAAACCAGAGTATATCCTGAGAAAGAGGTATGACAAGGGCCAAAGAAACTAAAACATTAGTTCACCTACAAAATCTCAACCTTCTTAGGTCAATCTGGTGTAGTGAAGAGTGGAATTACTTGTGATTTTTGAAAACATGGGTTTGATTGTACTCCTCTTCCTTAGTTGCAGGACACTGTCTACTCCTCTTTTCTTCCAGCAAGCCAACTCAACTGCCAGCACACAATTCCCAGATTATTTCCAGGGTGCTGCTGAACACTGTGGCTTGCACCCAGAAAGGAAGGCAGCTCTGTGACATAAGAATGCAGTTACTGAAAGCATCAGGAGAGAATACTGAACACATTGATAACAGAGGTATTATTTCCTTTTCTGTCAGTTCCTAAAGCTCAACCAGAATACTTCACATTCTCATTTTGCCACTTTGCTTAACCAGACCATGATTTTGCCATTGTCCATGAAACTGCCTATTAACACTGAAACAGTTCTGATGGCAAAGGCTTTAAACCCACCTCCATTGGCTCTTCTCCCCCTTTGGTTTGATTGTCGCCCACCTCTCCACTCTCATAATTGCTGCTCTTCTCAACCCACAATTCTGATTTTTCTACAGTCAGACGTAGCTGGTCAAGATCAGCCTTGATTTGCTTGTAGTTATCCACATCTTGATTGGACACCAGCAACTGAACCTGGAAATGGAGAAAATTGTAAAGCTGTTACAGCAGTAACACCAGCACTTATGGCTGGGTAATTTTTTGACAGTTCCCATTCTAAGCCTCTCTTTACAGGTGCCTTGCGCAACCTTCCCTGTGCAATTGAAACATGGCACACACAGGCTTTTAGCCCCCATTATCATTCAGCCTTTAGCAGAGCCAGAGGCTGCAGTTGCCCAAAATGGATAGTTAGAACATTCACAACATCCTCTCACCGTCTTGGATACACTGCAAAACATTTTCAGCACAGGCAGATTTACAGGCTCTTGACTTCTGTGCAGAGTGAGCTCTGATGCACTGATCATGATCCTCATGACATTAAACAATACAGTTACACACTATTAAAGCAATAGTTAGAAATAGCTACTGTTTCAGCACTGCATTTCAGAAGAAAAAGGAAAAAAAAGGATGGTATGACAAGGGATCAGGGCATCCAAAGAAAAGTCAGAATGGCCAGAAATTTTAATGATCTCCTACACCACCATAGTCAAATATTGGAAAATAAGGCCAGCTTAGAAAAACTTCACTGAATATAACTGACAAACTGACTTTCAGGTTCATGGAATTCTCACCACCTGAATGGTTGCCACTTATCAAGATTAATCTCATATTTTCTTTTTTCTGTACTGCTCAAATTATCTGGGTTTTTTCACTGTTATATGTAGTTCTTGATTTAGCATGACCTACATATATTCTTTCTTTGTAACACTCTCTGTTCTCCCAAGATTATTAATGAAGATAATATGCCAAAAAACTATCAGCAATCTTTACAGTAAATTAATAAACACTATTAAGAAATCATACTCATGTAAAAGATAAAGGTCACTAACAACACTGATAGGGATTTTTTTTTTTTTAAAACCACATTACATCCAGGCAAATATTCACTATTTTGTAATATAAAGTCTTCATCATAATCATCTCTCTTGCCTTGCAAGAACCTTGTTATTTTACAGAATTTATGAATGCTGCTCAACTGCAGGCATTCTGATTTCACGTGTTCTACCATCTTTTTTGTTTATTTTTCCATTAGCCTTTTCCATCCTTCACAAAAACACGTTAAGCAATTCAGTCCTTGCTTACCTGGGAATAACAGCTATTTATGCAACTAACCAGCACAGCCTAACTTTAAATACCTGGTGGGAGGCCATTATGCTGCACAACAAAAACATTAAACAAAAGCTTTTCAGGTCTTTATCATTCATCTGTTTGCACCGGAGAGAAACCTCCCCACCTTACATAACGATGAGACAACATGCTACCAAGCTCCTGAAATAAGCATCAGATGTTCTTATCAACATATGTTATAGAGGGTTACGTAACAGAGGCATCTCTGTCTTGCAGCCCCATGACATCAGATCTCCCCATCCTAATCCACAGACACATGGAGCCTGCACATGCACCGCTACCAGAGGGGGAGAATAAAAGCTGAAAACAGGCTTGGCTCTATCCCTGTCTTCCTGCTATTTGGGCATAGCTGTATCCAGCAGGGGAGCCCCCTGCAAAGACACCTGAATTAGAATTAGAAGCACCAGGTGAATAACAAAATAACAATACCTGGCCTAAGTGGCCCTGATGACAGGGAAGTGTCACTGATGACACGGGGACACTGCTTGCCAAACATGAGGCACTGGCTCTGTCCCTGAGGGATCCCTGTGAGAGGCTCACCACAGACCTATGTTTTTCCTAATGGTTGCAGTGCCAGCAAGAGCAATTTCAGGGGGCACAGAACTATAATATACACCAGCACATAAGGCCATAGAAGTCTGCTGATACTTGACCTCTGGGGAAATAACACTGTCACGCAACAAACAGCAATTTAAGTAGCAGAGCAGCCTTGGGAAAGGCTCCCTGGGTTCAGTTTCCTGGGATAACAGTGAGCCCATCCATACCTGTTTGAATGCTTGCAGAACTTCTGCTCTCTGGCTGAAGTGCTTGAACAGCAGGTGCAGAGCCCCTGAGAGCAACGGGGGGTAGTCGTGCATGATGAGGTGAATGAGGACCCGTAAAAAAGTTCTGCCCCCTTCATCATCAAGCTGAACTGCATTCTTCTCCTTTCTGCAATAGAAAGGGGGAAAAAAGGGTCAAATAAAGTAAAGTGAATAAGAAAAAATAACAGCTCTTGAGATAAATATCCCTCTAGACACAATCTTCACTCAACAGAGTTCTTAAAATCAAATCAAATATGTGGAAGGAAGGAAATTATAAATATGACTTTAACATATTTTATAAGGACTTCTATCCTACAGTTATTGCAGCAATCTTGTAGCAGAATGGACACTATGGGGCAGAAGTATCTACACACAGAAATGTGCCAAACACTGTGATTAAAATCCATATTGTAAAAGCATTCATTTATGTTATGGATAAGTTGAGCCAGGCTCATCCCCAATCCAAATTAAACTGCATTTCATCAGAGATTAATTTGACCCTTTCCTTTTCAGCTGCTATTAAAATTTCATTTAAGAAAAAAATAAGATCAAAAATAGCAAGAATTGCCAAAAGCATCATATTTCTGGAATCATATTCATAATGTGGAATGGCAGAAAGCAGATTTACACTTAACATATCAAAGCAGAAAGAATGTTTCCAAGAAACCATTCGGTCTCGCTGTTCATTTTAAAGATGCAGATGCCAAGGGCTGTGTCTTGTTTTACGTTTTGGGAGTTCAGAAGAGGCCTGAAGGCATTGCTTGTGCTGGTAAAGATTGAGGATGCATGAGGGACTCAGAGAAAAGATCATAGTGCCCACACTGCAGATCCTTCTCCTTAACTTCAAGAAAAACTTTAAAGTCTATGGCCTTATCTAAATGGAATTAATTTTTACTGGTATTATTATAATTATACCCATAAAATTAAACCAATATAGTGATAATGGTAATAACTCTCCAGTGTGAGTGTTTTCCATGGGTTATTTTTTTCTGTTCACAGTGTAGCTGAAACCCCTTCCAAAACTCTGCAAGCATAAATTGTGATCTACAGGCCTCTGGTGGACCAGGAGATCATGGCAAGTGGTCCACGCCTGATCTGAGGAGTCACGGGAGAGATTTCTGTTGACACAGTTTTCCCAAGGAGTTTGAACACCAAGTGCAGGGACAACAGGTAGCAGGAGAAGTACTAAGAGTTAACAGCAAGCTGTTGATCCAGGCAATTTGGAGCTGTAGCCATAAGACACACCAGAAGAAGAGTTGTTTTTCAGCACCCATGTGAGGCAGTATAAGACAAATAGAAAATTAGTGTGATTTAGCCCAATACACCTGTACACCATTCCCCTGCTGCCTTTGGGAAAATGACAAAAGCTTTCTACCAGTTCTGTTACAACTAAGAAGGTGGTCATAGCCAATCCCACAGCCATCCAGCTGGGCTGTTTGCCTGATTGAAATCCAAGTCTTTCCTGGCACATTTCTCTTCAGGTACGGCTTATGCAATTAACAAGTAAGAAGGCAAAGGAAGAGAAAGGGCTATAAAAATAGGCACAGAATAAACAGATATTGGCCATGAGAAACACTGATGTGAACAAAAAAATAAATAAATATACAAAGAGGTAAAACTTCAGAGAATATACCTGCCAGCAAACATGGTTTCAGCCTGAGCTGCAATTTCATCTATGTCGGGAACAATTGCTGGGAAAAAATCAGAAGAAAAGATTTAAATGAAATAAATTAAAAACAACAACAAAAAAAAAACCAAACCAAAAAACCAGCCAATGATCATTATTTAATCTGCGCAACAAAATGGAATTCTGCTCCTCTTTAGAGCAGATGGTATCAAGTAAAGATCTAACTATTCATTCCCCAACTACACAAAATTTGCTTTCTGCAAGAGTAGCAGAGAACAAACAGGATATGGGACAGACCTAAATTGTGGATTGCTATCCCTGAGGAAGAGCAATGTAGGATGAACCAAAGCCACATGGTGCTAGGAGCTGTATTAGCCACCATCAGTGCCCCACAAATGACACAGATTGTCAAACTTTTACTTTGTTTCTTACATGAGCCAGCCCCAACAAAGAATATACATGAACTTTTGAATATTTATCATTAACCCAGTTATTTACCACATCATCATTTTGCTTTAGAATTGCTTTAATATAACTTATTACTTAAGACTTTAGTACCCCTGTATTATACATATGCCCGCCTCCACCTAGAGCAATTCTCTTCTGCTTGCAGGTGTTCACATAGACCTTTTGAGCACTTTTGTGTGCATGGGAAAGCTCCCTGTAAAGCCAAATCATTCCTGTACCACATTCACCTTACTTAAACCTGTCCTCATCTGTCCCCAACCACTGACCATTTGCCGCCATGCAGTGTTTCGGGAAGAGCACAAATAAAAGAACAAAATATCATGGTGGGGAAAAAGGAATCACTTTTTTGTTAGAGGACAGGGCAGCAAAACAAAATTCGTGGAATTCCTTAAAATTTTAATTTTTTTACAAGCTTTTCAACAGTCAATGTTTTCAGTGTTTTCCCCAAACTCTCTCTTATAGATAGACAGCATGTAGGATATTCTGTAGTCCAGTCTAACACTGAGAATAAACTACAAGAAAAAAAAAAAGAAGTGAATTAATTTAAGTCTACTATGAAAAACCAATCCATTACATTCACCAGTTTTCTGTGATTCCTTTCTTTACCGTGCCCATCCTGAGACATGGTGAACTCTGCCCTATGGATTGCTGAGTACCCCTGGGTGTGTCCAAGGGCTCCAACATGCTGCCTTGCCCTCACTGCCTGCAAGCCAGGTCAGAACCTTCAAACCCTCGCTGACATCAATTATTTCTCATTTCAGCTGGACTTCCAATGTCCCATAAAGTGGAATAAAGAGCATGCAAAACAGGCTCAAGGCTCACCCTCTTGGATGCCTGAAAAATGCCTTTTTGTTCCTCAGCTGTGAAACTGGAAATTTATACAGGAAAAATCCTAATTCAGACCTGGAAGTGCTGCTTTTATATTGGAATAGTGAGGAAAACAACTAGGCTGGAAGTATTAGTATCAAATGAAGGGCTGACACTTATACACATGGATGCTTCTTACCCACAGGAAATGCAAGCACATGATCAAACACCTTTAAGATCATTTACATATTTTACAATCAGTGGAGATGAAAGACATATGCTGGGTTTCCAAGGCTGAGGTGACAGGTGATCTGAAAGGTGACTTAGCAAATGGTGGCAACCTGTTTCTTTGATCTACAGCTAAAGCCAAACATGCTTTCCCAGACCCACTGTAATAGGATTTGTCTATTTCGGTTCCATAATTAAGTTGCCTCAGAATTGTACAAGCAAGATTTTTAAAAATAAAAATTTCCCAAGTCCATGCATAGTTGACTAAGTCTATCAGACCATCTGTTGAATTCTGGCTGAGGGCAGAATAGAAATCATAAATTAAAAAGTCTTTACTTAAAGCAATAACAAGATATACTAAGAATTAAATTTCTATGAACTGAAATATTTCTGAGAATAGAACAGCTTTAATCAACATTGTACTTGCTATGCATGTTAGTATAATGAATCTAAAATATTTTTACTCACCTTTGAGACTAAAAACACAGTAATGAAAGGTAACATGATTTAAATTAATCCTTCTTCATTGCATTTTAAATAAAACTGATTTATTTTGTATTTTGTGTGGGCTAGGATCATATATATGCACATTTACTGGGATTCAACCAGCATATGACAACCTGTTTATCTGAAGTAATCTGACCATGTGACTAATCCTTAATTAACAAACCACAGATTAAGCAGAAAATTAGGATTAAGTGCTCTTCAATCCTGAGTGCTCTTGCAATGTATGGGCTATGAAAAAGGAAAGGATGAGACAAAATGTGATTCCCTCAAGGAATGCACAGGACAAGGTCCTGGAATCATCCTCCTAGGCATCGACCAGTAAAGCAGGACAGTATGGGGAGAAATTCAGTCATGAAAACAAGGAAAATGAAAAGCAAAACATGTGAATGATGTTGTTTAGGTCATAAAATTTCATAACACTCTGTCTTTCACTATAAGTCTTGAAGTAAAGGAGGCCTGGAATCACAGAATGCCGTATTGAGTGTAGTCTAACAATTGATAGCCTTTCAGATGACAAGTAATTACAGTCATCTAAATAATTTAAGAGCAGTCAGGACAAATGGGGAATCCTTCAAAAGTGACATTGGTACCAACAAATCCAGAGAATTTATAGAAAACACTGAAACATTCTTTAGGGCCTAAGCACTGCAGAAACCAGGATTTGATACACAGAGCAAGCGTGTGCCACTTCACTTATTAACAGCACAAAGTGCAAACTGCATCTCAGGAGGCAGGCTGGTGTCACACAGCTTGTCAGGTCAGCAGGGAGAAAATCATAGCAGCCCACAGTCTGCTCTCAGCCCAGCAGTGGAAACCTGAAATGCATTAAATGCACCACCAAAGTGCACAGCCTCACACAGCTTCAGTGGTGCCGGGGCCAATTCTGCCCTTCATCCAACTACTGCAACAAAGGGGTCAAATGCTTAAATCAAGCAACCACGCCAGTGTTAAACGAGTGTGAAAGAAATGGAAACAGACACACTGTCTTCAGGAAACACTGGTGAGGCAGATTAGAGGACAAGTTCTGTCATTGCACAGTTACAGTGAAAGTTTCTGCAGCATCCTGTGCCTTCAAAAGTGAATCTGGTACAACTTCAAGGGTGAGGACCATAACTGTACAGTTGTTCACACAGAGGACTATCCTTCTTCATAGCAAGGAGTTACTTCTACAATGAGCAGCTCAGTGAATAGTAAGAATGTAGGTGACAGAACTGGCCACTATGTGAGTAAAGAACCATGAAATGACTGCTGTGTAATATGCCACTCCTTATCATTACCTGCAAAATCTCAATGATTTTCAATTTGGTGTCCATTACAATCACATCTTCACTGTCTGCAGTGCTGGCTTGCTTGCTTGGGTGAATGCCTGGCTGGATGTCAGGGGTACTGATGGGAAATACAGACCCTCTGCTCAGCACCATTTGGGTCATCATCTCTCCTACTCCATGGATGGTCCTCATGACGTTGTTCCCTGGGCATTAAACAAAAAGAGACATTTCCTAGGACTAAAGCACATCAACAACGCTGTGTATCACACACACCCCCATGTTTTCAAACCCCTTTCCAGTCTCAAGAGGAATACTGAAAAAGAAGCCCTCAGCTCCTGAGTTCATTCAAATTACCCAATTAGGCAAAAATTTTCTACGCTGATTTTCCAAGATATCGTTTCTTACAGGTCAAGAGATGGTAAATACCCAAAATATTTCCAGAGTTCTGTTAACAGGATCAACAAATGATAAAAAGTAGAACTAAAGAAATTTCACTCATTCCTTTGCCTGAAGGTGTATTATCCACATCTAAAATAATTTCTTAAAGAGATTTGTTTAACCTGTTTTTAAGGCTATTTGCAAAGTGAGTGCTGCATATCCAGTATTATAGAGCATTTCTATGCAAGCAATTCCAGTACCTGACTATGTTTACCATTATAAAACTTTTATTGGTATTTTATTAATACCATCTATTGCTGCAATTTGGAGACACATGGGAGGAGTTTTATATGTCACACTGAAAGAGAGTAAAGAGATGAGGTTGTTGAGGTAGTCTGATCTTTGTGTGGTTCAGATGACAGGCCACAACCCAAACCCAACTGACACATCCCCCTTCAAAAAAAAAGTCCTAGGAGAATGCCAGGCTTGAAGGTTGTCCTGAAGGACAAACCAGTATCTGTAATCACAGTGCCTTTTATAAGTTATTCATGAGGGAAAAAATTATTTTACACTTACGTGGTAAAATCCTTATCCAGGTTGCAATGGTATACTGCAAAATCTACCAAGAAATATCATCAGTTCCCACAGATTATACTGGTTTTTACAATGAATTTTGATGGGAAAAGCATCTCAGTGAACCAGTGACTTTCTTGAAAAGGTGGGACAAGAAAGTGTGAGAATCTCATGCTACCTACCTACATGAATTAGTTTCCTTTCTTGCAAGGCAGATAGGAATGAATGGAGGAAAGGAAAGGAATTACAGCATCTCTTCACAGGAAGAGTGCCAAGATCTAGGCTACACTAAAATCAAAGAAAAGAGTGAAGGAAGTGTAGCTTTGTTGAAAGAAGCCTGAATAGTTCTTGTCTGTCCTTTAGTACACTTTAATCACCATGCCATGGCCAAGCTTTACTCACACTGAAGAAACCCTCTTCCCATATAATCTTCTGTAAAAAGCCAAGGCTGGATTTTATTTTTTTGGCAAAATCCTCCTCTTATTCCTGTCTTTCTTCAATCCATATAACTCAACTACAATGTGTATGGAAAGAGAATGCCTTTAGCCCTGACTTTAAAAGGGAAACACACAATGAGTGTGCTTTTTCAAAAGCAATGAGGCAGATTAATGTCAGGTTTGAAGTCCCATTTAGCATCTGGTCTGGTGTGCAATCACTCTGAATGGGTCTTCTGAAAATAACACTTCAAGTCCCTACGAAACAGAGAGGGGAAAATGTACTTCTGATTTTGCATGGTGTTAGGGAAAAAAACCGAGAAGTTAAATTATGGGCTGGATCCTCACATTAGGCAGGCACAGAAAGTTCTAACTGCTTGCACAGGCATAAAGCAAATAAAATCATCACAAATACCCTTCATGACACAAAATTAAAATGATGTGTTTTCCTTTCAAATCAAGTAAAACAGTGTGGGAATAACATGGGATGGATATGTCTCCCCAACTCCTTTCTCCCAGTGTGCTAAACAAGTATTTGTATAGACCACCACTCAGTGCACCTCTGCAAAGCTACAGTACTATGTGGAGGACCTTCAACCCTTAAAGTACCTTCAGTTAAACCAACATTTTGTGACTTCTTTATCTTCAAACCATGAAATAAATGAAATCCATTTCATGCTGTCCTTAATGCTGACTGATACACCCTGTAACAACAACAGCCCTGTACAACAAGACCTGTAACTTGGGCAGCTGCATCATGACCTGCAATACCCCTGCCATATACCTCAGATGAGAAATTATCATCATCTCTCACAACATTGTTTCAAAATCCCTTTTGCTCAGTTGTGCAGAGGGAAATATAAATAGAGGGCATTTGGAAAACTCAGGAATCCTTTAAAAACAAACTTCAGACAGTGGAGTTAAGGATAAGGAAACCACTCAGGTCTAAGACAAGATCCAGAAGATATTCTTGTCAAAAACAAGATACAACTGCAGTTTGTCCCAAATGAGGAAGAAGAATTCCACTTCATCTTGAAAAGTTCCTGCTCACCCTTCAAGACTGAAATTTACTTGGTGTAAAGCTAACAAAAAAAGTTAGCTAGCATCTTTTGGACAAGATATCAGACATCTTGGGTGGACCTCATGTTCCTGGAGAAAGCAAGCTGAGATTTTGCCCAGACCATATCTTGCTTATTTCTCAGCTATTACTGGGGTACTGCACAGGCATGGCAGGAAATGGGATTTAACTCCTTCTGTGAAAAAGTTAATAGTTACTGTCTCTGCATTTCAGGACAACTTCCATAAATAAGTAGACCACCTTTTGCACCTCTAGGAAGGACAGTTAGAGGCCTGCAATAGCAAAGACTCTGAGGTACTCAGCTCATGTGATACTGAAGCCTAGGAAAGTATCTAGGAAATAAAAAGAAATGAGGTGACTGCTGTCCTTTCCTGTTACCCACAGAACACCAGTGGTCAAAGGTGGCACAAGCCAGTGAGAGGCAGCTGTGTAGCTGCTTCCCAATGGCATCAGTAATAAGGATAAACCCTCTGTCCACAGCATTCCTTCACTATTGACCTTAATGCAACTGATCACAAAAGATAGAGGTGGGAAAGTAAAGGAGGATTAAGGCAGTCCTTATTATCCCTGCCATTTCAAATAGTATTTCATTAATGCATAGGAAAGGATTTTAGTAAGATAAAAGTCTACTTAATCCAGTTCAGTATTTACAGCTGGAATAGGTAGTGATTCAATACTGCATTAGTTCTGTCAATAACAGCAAGGAGACAAGGTGTGACAAGGTGTCATCTTGGAAAACTTTTTAACCAACTGCCTGATGCTGACTATAATTTTCAATTAATTCAGAGCAGGCTTGAAGAGAACATTCCCAGAGTTAAAATGCTGCAGCAACTGCAGCAATTAAGTGTTTCTTTTCAGGAAAGGTATTTCACCAACTATGTTTTGCAGGGTGCTGATGAAATGCAGCCCTCTCCATGGAGCAAACAGCAGTCAAGCAGCACATTCATGAATGGCAGTGAAGCAGCTGATGTGTCTCAACACTGAGAGGAGCTGCTCTACTTTGTGAAAGAAGCCATGGAGATCCTTCAGGTTCATAAAGAGTGGGCAGCAGCTTCTCCTCCAAAAGATCCCCCAGTAATCAGCACTGGTGATGCTCAGCATTGTCTGTCCAGCCTTGGAAGCCTGGATCATGTTAAGCATGGATTTATATCTATCAGTCACAAGCACGAGGGGCCAGCAGCAGTCTTGCTTGAACACGGTTATCTCAGCAGGGAAGGGTGTGCTTCCCTGAGGTAAGGCATGCAGGAGGGTTACTGCAGCTTAAAAAGGGACTGGCTCTCTGTCAGCTAAGCCTGCAACAATGCAAGACAAAATACACTAGCTCAATAAAAGAGATTTAAGTTCTTAGTACATGTGCACACAATGACTAAAACAAGGGAGCTCTGATCTTAGTCACATCTCCAAAGTGCTTCCTGAATACCAATGACCAAGGAAAAATTAACTTACTGCCTCAGCTAGTTAAATGAGATAAATCAGGAGAAAGAGCAAGTAGATGTGAACCCTGATTACTTTTATGTGCACTTTGCTAGATATAAGTGAAGAGAAGCCTGAGCTGTGCCTCCATATGGTACTGCCACCCTTAGTCTGTTGACCTCATCTTTGGCTGTTTTCTTTGAGGTCAAAGTACTAACATTTATATATGGCTGTGAAGCATGGCAGGGAGAGAACAGTCTTTGCAATGTTGTGAGGTGCTAATGTGTGCAAGCAACCACTTTTCTCAGCACCAAACTGCTGCGGAAGTGCTCAGAATTGTGACTGACCAACAGAGGAAAAGAACGCAAGGAAATCTCCTTGAATCTTTATCCAGTTTTCCCTTCCTCTCTGTTCCTCCCTCTGCCAAGACAAGTCAGATGCCAAAAGCCTTCCATAAGCAGTGGACCCATCAGAAATGTCTCCTATTGAATATACAGTCTCAACAAGATTAGTCAATGGAAAAGTGAATTCACTATGCACAAGTGGTAATTTAAAGGAGCTGCAGATTGACAGACACGGAAAGAAGAGGAAAGAAGAGAATGCTTGTCATGTTTTGAATAGACAACTGTGTATCTCCTTTTCATTACTTTTTATTACAGTGATCACAACTTCCTAATGAGTATCAGTTTCTGTCACAAAACTGTAGCACATAATCTCATACAATTTGGCACGATTGACAACACAGCGGCCTCTCTGAGAAGAAAGGCTTTTCAGAGGAGTCAATTATGGAAAAAAATAACAACCACCCAAGTAATCGAAACAGTGGATAATTTGACACTTCATTTTCTACATAAACATATTTTCTTGATAAGTCATTTACTGGTTGCAAAAATTCTAAATGCAGAATATAAAAGTAAACAACAATCTGCTATGCAATACAGTATGGATGATAAGTGACAAAATACCATATTCAGTAAGAAAAACAACTGTCAAAGGCAGCTGGCAATTTGTGCCTTTTCTTCCAATTGTTCCCAGCCCATTCCTATGGAGTATCCTCAGTTTGCTCTCCAGGACCCACAGAATTTTGGATATTTCACACACAGTGCAGAGAACCATGTAGAAGCTGAGGGTTAATAGTCAGTGGAAACCACAAAGGCTGGGAGATCCCCTTAGAGCCAGCAGTCCTCTGCTCCACAGAAATCCCCAAGATGCCACGGAACAAACATGCAGCCTTGTTTATTTTAAAATTACCTATAGGCACCTGATCTGGTCCCTAGTTACCATGGAGGGACAGAGCTTGCTCTTACTGTCATTTCTGTTCAGTCTT